CCCTAACTGAAGGTGCGGTGTGCAGAAAAGCAACTTGCTCTCGGCTACGACGACCAACTGCTCGACCTTTTCATACTCCGCCATGAGAGTAAGCTCTTCTTTTGTGCGGCCCCCGTCCGGATTCTTTCTCATCTCATTCACTCTGCATCCGATGTCGTATGTAAAGTACGGGGCGTACTCCTGAAGGTTCTGCAGCGGCTTCCCACCCAGCGAACCGTCCGCCAGCAATGTTCTGATAAGATCCCATGTCCTGGTATTCTCGAGCTTGACCTGAAAATAATCTCCGAGCTTGGATCGGATGTCATGGTTGAAAAGATGCATTCCTGTGCTTTGTGCCAGACACTCGAACCCCGTGGTAAGGCAGATTGATCCGTATCCACCCAATTGAAAGGACGGTGCCATCGTGCCGACAACTGACGTGGATCCCCGAGGCTCATGTGTGGAAGTCCAGCCGACAAGCCTGCAAAAGCGCCACGTGGTGATACACTTTAGTAGTTTGAGGCCACTTTGATCTTGCAGCTATTTGCGAAGCCCATTATCTAGCAGCGAGGAGGAGAAAGTAACACTGGCCATTGTTCAGGGTGGCAGTAGAGCGCCCCGCCTCCAGTGGGGCGATTGAGGCCGGCATTGGACACGCCACAATGCGCCATCTGTGCAAAGTGGATACCGATCGTGGCCACTACTGTGAAGTAACGAACCATTCGTCAGCACCAATAGTTGCATGTAACTGCAATTTACTTTTGGAGAGAGAACTTGTTACGGGACAGCCTGCACCGTACGCGCGGAAACATCGACTAATGTCCGAAAGCGGACACGGGTAGCGGTCACTACTGTACCCCACGGTGCAGACATGTTAGTTCTGGGACATCTTTTCAACCTGCCGGGTCCGTCATTGGCGGTACATTAGCGTTGCTACAAATGACCTGTCCGGAGTGACCAGATCCGAGAACTCCCTGGCGGATCTGGTACCTGCAGTTGCTCACTCAATCATTTCAACGTCCCGACCCAGCATTCGCTGATGATTCTATCCAAGCCTTGAAGCTGTAACTGTGCGACTCAGGCGCCATGCACGGTATGTAGTCATGTAGGAACAACAACTCACGCGATATTTGGTTGCGCACCAGTCGATGACCGTGGCACAGAAGTGTCAGCTCTGGTTCTCGACGCATCGTTGGGTTTGTGTTGATCGTCGAGACTGTGCTTGTATGGCAAGGCGTCGTTGAAGGTTGAGCTAGGAGACGTGCTAAGGGACCCGCTGCGGGTCTTGCTCTCCCCCCCAAAGGATCTCAGTTCATAACCACGAGAAAACTCTCGATCATGCGGTGGCGCAGCGCAGAGACATCTCTACAGAATATTGATCACGGTGTAATTCGAAGGTAGGGCAGCGCGTATGAGTCGACTTGCTTCTGCCCAGATGACACATTTTCTTCAGGCATAAAGTGAGGTTGGTGGAGGACGACTTGGGCGCCGTTGACCCCACTTTACAGGTTCTCCTACCTCTGCCGCCACGCCCCGCAACCACGGCACTCACAAGGCGCCCGAGACCTTCTCAACTTCCCCCGGGATTATACCAATCCTCATACTACCGCCGAGCGAGCGAGCTGTAGCGCATCAACGTTGCAGTGATGTTGCGAGTCACGAGGGCCGTAGTTCCGAGTGATGAGGCACGACCCCACGAAACCATTGAAAAGAGAGGGACACGGAGAATGCAAGCGCAAGAGACGTCCTACCTTTATTCCAGGCAGCCATAGTGAAAGCGACAGAAGCTGGCAGATGAGAACAGTGAAGTATAGGAGAAATGGACGAGCTTGCAATGCTATTTGATCGAACGGCTTTTACGCTGCGATTGAGATGTCTGCCGATGAATTGATGGGTTTTAGCTAGAGAACTACTCGCTGTGTAATGTGATAGAGATACTTCAGGCTTCTAAGGCGCGGTCAGTCAAGGCTCCTATGAGACTGTTGCGGACAGAGAGCCTCCGTTGCCGGGACGTTGCATAATACTTTTCGTTTCGACATGATTGTCTCTATCCGACACGAAGTCGACTTCTGGTATGCATTCTAGTGCTGGTCGAAAGCGGTGTTGACGCGCGGTAGTATGCAGTCTCAAGGTACCTGAGCCGCCGTATTGCATCCGCAACGTAACGGGTGAGCTACTGAGCGGGATATGATCAAGTTACTCGGACTATTTCAGCTGACGCCTACTCAAAATGCCGCTCAACTGGGAAGTAAGCCTTTGGTTACTATGACCTTCTTGATGTGCGCTGCTATGGAGTGCATCTTCCAACAAGTTACTGATCCCAACGGCACCTGTGGTGTTACGACCCATATTTGAAGGCGACGTGGGCATTTCTTGTCTGCCCCTAGATTTCTGTACCATTACATCTCGCTTCTCGAAGATCTTTAGGCGAGCCTGAGTCATTAACCCTACTTTACATGCTGGAGAACTCCCAGGTGGTCCTGGCTCGAGTTGCTACTGAATGCTACTTGTCACGTTTTCTCCCGCATCAGGAACTACGTAAGAACAGATAATTCTCTCCTGAAGCAGCTTCGCTATCAGCGACAGAACGGCATCAAAAGCGAACATATCTCCCAGCACAGCGCATAACCACAGTCTTGAAGTCTGTCACCATTGCCAGTGTTCTTCTAGCTTGTGCTGTCGCTGCGAACCTCCACGGTCACGAGCGCTACCGACGGCATCCAAAACAGCGCGTTCACGCGCATAACAAACGCCATACATGCGAAGAGGACTTGGCGGCCACGCCTAGTTCTGGACTCGTCCTCGTATCCAGTGCAGACTCCAGCTCCTCTGCTAGTGATTACACAGCGCAGGTGGCGGCCGCCACAATAAGCGCTGTGGTGGGTTTCTCTGTGGCTGCCATTTCGGTTTCTGGTGCTCCCGAAGAAACCCTCGAGTCGCCAGCTAGCAGCGAACGCACTTACTCCATTACTGGAGATATCACTTACTATGATGTCGGCCTTGGTGCTTGTGGATATGATGACTCTGTGCAGAATGATACGGGTTTGTTCGCTGCCGTGTCTGAAGAGTTCTGGAACAGCATCAGCACGCTCACCAACGCCGGCCCTGGCCTGCCTAGCCACCCTCTTTGTAACAAGAAGGTCACACTCTCCGCTCCGGATGGCACTCAAGTGGTTGTCACTGTGCGCGACAAGTGTCCCAGTTGCGCCATGGAAGCCATAGATGTCAGCAGAGCTGCATTTAGGGCTCTTTTTGGTAACCTAGATATTGGCCGAACTAAGGTTAGCTGGAATGTGAGCTGGTAAGTCTACCGTTCTGGCCTCCGCTGCCACTCCGCTTCGTGCAGCTCCCATCAGTTTCATTCATTAGACAAAAGAAACACGTGTCTTCCTCAGCGCCCATTTGCATTTCTCTTTCTGATAGATGGCGATCCCCCACCGCACCCATCTCTACTAATCCACAGGAGTATCTATGCTCTAAAGAGCCTTGCCACAAAACTGAATAAGTGCGCATGTCTAACCCTATCCTGGAACTGCTGAGCGCTTCTGTCAACTGGGGTATGCTCGCATGCACTTCACCCGCAGGCCTTCTCCAAAACTAGTGAGTCGCTACCAAAGGGAGAAAAAACCGTATTCTTTGACCACATAGCAGGGCGACCCGCATATTTATTAGGGAAGATAGTGAATCACCTTTTGTCTCAAGCGATTTGTACAAGTTCTTTCAGAAAGACCATCAGACGACGAGTTGATTAACAACCTCGCAGGAATGAATGATGACGCGGTGTGGCAGGACGATTGTGGTCCTTGATGAGTCAGCGGCGCCAAGACTTCGGACTGTGCTAAGACCAACGTAGCTGTGCTATGGCAGGTCAGACCACGCCCACTAAACGCAAACGATGAAGGAGAAAGAGATCTAGCTCGTTGTATTTCCTATAAGTATAGACAGTTTTTAAATTTCCACGCTAGACGTCATTCAAGTCCTTAATGCCGAGTTAGTGATTGAGCTTTCGATTACCAAAAACCCCAGAGCATTGCTGTCGCAGAAAAGCCTGGAACATGACTGCCACACCTCCGGTAGAACGGTATGCACATCTGACCCGAACGTGGACGAGCGAGGGTAACGCGACGGATGATGCGATGGCATAGATCTGACGGCACCGGATGCAGGGTTCGCTCGTGGACCCGGTCAGATTGTGCGAGGAGTTGTGCGATTCGCGATCCTGGCAATTCGTGCTGCTGATTGGCGCGACCCCCTCATCGACTGCAGCAATCCGACGGGGCTCAATGACGCCTGCCGATTAGATGAACGCAGAGAGAACCTTAATTGGACGTCCTTTCAAAGGGCCTTGCGCGCGGCTCTTTCTAGATCTTCCAATACTTGGCCGCACGTGCCACGAAATGAACTGGACAACTACGGTGGGTCGAGTCACCCGTCTTTCCTCGCGGCCGGGAAAAGACGTGAGGCGAGGTCCCTGAATTATGTGGGTGCCTCCGTCCCGAAGGGCGCCCGTCGACGGTCGCTTCGACGTCCTGCGGTAAGGGGCACCGGTGCAAGGCCATCCCTGCAGCGGCGAAGCACGCCTGGAGGTGCAGGACTCCACTTCTGTGTCATCAGGTCGACGCCAGCCGACTGGCGCATCATGTTCTATGGCTGTCTCACTTCCCGACTTACCCTTTCCGACAAGGCTGGGCTGGGGCTAGACAAAGCCCTTCCCGCCGATTAATGGCGACCAGGAATTCCGCCTTGGGGTGGCCGACGTGTGGAAGTTCCCTCGGGCAAATTGGGGCGCAGGCAACCCCTGGCCCATGCACCTTCACCAAGCACACCATCCAGGCGAGCGGCACGAAAGTGGACCGTGGCACTTGCATCGGCCCCACGAACCGAGCGCGTGAACAGGGGTCCTGATGTGCTGTGCCTTGGCGTGACTAGGAGGCGCCCCACTGCAGCCTCCCGGCCGTCCTGGGTGCTGACCAACAAATCAAGCCACAGCAACAACCATATAAGGTAACCATCAGCTCGGCATTCAGGCCTGCAGCCTGACAAGAGATCCGCACCCATTTCAAATCACACGAGAAAACGCACTACCGATCCCCAAGCTATGGTGCAAGCGCGCAACGCTGCTTGCGGCGCTGCCCGAGCCTCGCCCGAAAAGCCAGCCACACCAGCCGCTCCCCTGGCGTCTGCAATGAAGCCAATCCAATCAACGTACGCACTAGCGAGTCAACAAACGAGCAAACGCGATCAAACAAGCGTGGATGAAGCTGCCGCTCCTAAGAGGCAGCGTGTATCGCCGACAGATCTTGAGTTTATACAGTCCTGGAATGCGCTTGAGGTCCTGGCGGATGTTGTGCGTCGATGCGGCGGCGAGCAACAGCTAGATCCAGCTCTTGCGCAACCACGGCTCCAACTACTCAAGGACGCCTGCGCGATGGGCGATCTTTTCTATATCGTGCTACATCAGGTCTTTTGCACTTGGACCGCGAAGCCACTCGAAATTCGAGGGTTGTTCCAAAATGACGATCACTTGTTCTCATTGGCAGAGCATGGACTGCGGGAGCTGAGTACACTCCTCAGAGACAACTCAAAAATGCGACCAGATCTGCTACGGTATTTTGCCAACTTCCCGGCACCTTTTTCCAACATGCAGCGCTTTCCACCGTACTCTGACTCGCTGAACGCCGTGGTGAAGTTCCTCTTTTCTATGGCCACTTCATGGACCAAGTTGATGAAGCAGCATGCGGCAGACGGTTACCCACTGCTGATGGATGAGATGCTAAGCGTGCTGCACGTGCATTCGGTCGTTTTGCAACTCATTGTCTTCCGTACATCCAGGAGGACAGCAGGTGTTCTAGACAGGCGTGTCGGCACGCAAATGGAGTCTATTCAAAGAGGATCAGGACTTTCATCGGTCCGCGGATGGTTCTTTTATGTCAAAGGCACAAGACCCTGCCTATCCAAAGTACGAAGACAATCTTGTCCAGCGATACGGAGTTGGCCCACCTCGCCCGAACACTTCACCAACAACGATATGTTCAACAATCGACCTCGCCAACAGCTGTCCCAAACAATGCTCAGAGCTTTGTCGGAAATGCCCCCTCTCCAGCGGCACCAAACCAACAGTGGACGGCCCTGCCGAGCCAAACGATGTCCGCGATCATTGAACCTCTTCACAACAATCCTCCCAGCGTTTCCCAAGGAGTCGCCGCTCGGCCCCAGGAGTCAGCAACCTCGATGAGTGTTGCAAGTCATCAATTTTCTACGACCTCGCAAGCACCATATCCGGTGACGGCAGCGACAACACAGCACGCTTTGCGTACTGAGGCGCCGGGTTTAGCCTGGCACGGTCAACCCCAGAGACTTCAATCTTCCGTAGAACAGACACATGCGCAGCCGAATGCGCATGTCTCGGGATCATCGACAAGTCAGCAGGCTAGTTTCAGTGCTTCTTCCGGTGCGCACTGGTCCAGTGGCTCACCCGTTTCAGCTCAGTCGCCCGTATTCCCGGTCACTGGGGGGGGTAGGCAATATCCATCCGGATCTCCCATCGTGCAGGCTTCGACGGCCATGGCCACCATTCACAGAGGGCAGGCTGGTCAGCCTCTACAACCCTTTGTGACACAGCCAACACCGACTAAACCAATCTCGACCGGCCTCTTCTGGACTACCGTGCCGGGCTTAGCTAGAAGGGAAGCCGAGCCCCGGTAAGGGTCGACGGGAACTGGGCCTGGACCGTCAGTCCGGCAGGAGAGAGGCACGGCGAAGGTCTACCTGTTCATGTATTCTCACTACGCCGTAGGAGGCGCAGGCAGCAAGACACCCGCAGTGGGCGATTGTGCAGTCGGATGGTTGTAACCGCTAATTGTGTCGTCTGACCTTGTAAGTAGCAGGAAACACCACGGGACGAGGGGATTCCAAATGCCAAGACGCTAATCGCCAGCAATAGCCCTTCCTGGCGACAAAATGGAGCACTGGTGAGCTATTGGACAGGATCTGAATCCTTCGTATTAGTGCCTGATATGCAAGGCCCGGTAGCCTTCTTATTGGTGGGCGAGCCCTGCCTCTGACCAGATCTGGTTGAGACGATCGCCGCATGCGTTATTGCGTAGACCAATCAGGCTGCCCGCCTGCCCGGGGCCGCACAATCAGCCGCCGGCAAGCTGGCCGGGCCCTGTTCGGCCGGCGCGATATTTGGCAGCGGTGATGGGTCACTGATGCCGACCTTTGCATGTACCCTGTAGCTGAATCGCCGCTCGTTCCGGCTCCTGAGCGGTCGAGGGCGTCGCTGAAGGCTGGAATGGCCTCGTGGAGGTGGGCTACGAGGGTGCACGGGAAACCTGCGTAGGGTTAAGACGAGGTGTTCAAGACGCGGTCAACTACCAGACGCGCCAGAGGTCTTTGTCAACAAGGCCAACCTCCGCGAGGAGCTGCGGGCGTTACGGGATCGTTGCCGTGGTTTCATGCTCCCAGACCACCCTGAGCCGCCGCAGCTAGAGGAGTGAACGATGACGCCGCCGAATTGAATGTCCCGGCTAAGGAAACAGGACAAACCCGAAGAATAAGCCCGGCACGAATCCCGTCTCAGCGTCGAGTTCCCTCTCTCTCTTCACCCGTTGTAGTAAAGTGGCGCCGGGCACCCGGTTTCATGCCAGCAATAAAGTGGACTTCAGACACATCACGGCACACTCACATCACGGCGACCTCGAGAGATCTCTCAGTCCTTCCGCGCGCAGCTTCGATGTGGTGGAGCGCGCCTCGCTGCGGATCTCAGACGCCTCCACCTACCTCGTCGAGCCTGTCCTTGCACGTGCAGTTGGAGCAAGACGAAGTATACTGGTACAAGGCCGAACCGAGACGTGCGAAGCGGCACCCATGGTGTGCCGGTTGGGGAAGTTCTACGACACCGCTGGTTCCTCGCGAGACGCGACGTCGATGAGGCGGCTCTGCATTGTTCCGGGCTAGGGGCGGCAACGTCCGACGTCACCTCGGAGAGGCAGCTGCTGCCAGCTCGCTGTGCGATGCAGCCGCCCTTGTGGCGTTGCTCATCGGGCTGACATGTCGCACACGCCCTCCCCAACCACAGCAGAAACGCTGCCTGCAGCACGTGCCAACACTGCAGCTGAACTGCACAGAACATGGACCAGGGCAGTTGGACGGTACATCATGGTCAGGTCTCTGCATATCTGCGCTGCTGGGCCCCTATCGAACGGAACTCCCTAAAGAGGATATCCAAGAGATTGCATCAGACCGGACACAGCCCATGCCTACCTTGTTCACTTATTGAACAGCCCACGGCAATACAAGGACGACATTTCACTTGTACCTTTCACTTACAGCTCCCACTCGACCAAGTTCCCAATTGGGCCGGGTGCAGCGATCAGTCGAGACATTGCCCAGCTGCTCCAAGCAGAAAGCCAAGACGGCCGCAGAGTCGGCCTCTGTCCGCTTCCCGCCACTCCGCTCCTCTCCGCCACCACCGGTCGAGAGACTCACCGCGAGGTTCTGGACAATACATGTCTTGGCCCGGATGGGCGCGGCCCGTGGGATCTGCTACCCGCTCAAGCCACGGAGCCTTGAGACTTTTGAGTTTCCATCTCATTGAGACGCAAGGGCGTGAGCTAGTAGAATTCATGGGGAAGGCGCATACATCACGGATTCGACTATCCAGATGCGCTGCTATTCATGGTCAAGTAGATGATGCGGGCACGATGCCAGCTTTCACCTCCGATAGGATGGCAATACACATCCCTTCCCTCCTATCTGGTCACAGTTTGGGGCAAGGGCAATCCAACCGACAGCTACCTAGGTACCTATCTGTACAGACAAAGACTGAGTCCAATTTCCCGGTACCCATGCATACGACACTGTCAGGACACGGTGCCGTGGATGCCACTTGTCCAGGTGTGAGCTTGGTCGGCCGCCGCTTACTTATTGAATGCGCGATACTGCAAGACTGCGTTATTAGTATACGCTCCCAAGACCAGGTTGCGGCTTATGGAGGTTGAGGACCAGTGGGATCGGTAAGTAGCCCTTAACAGCCATCGCTCGAATCAGTCTAACAATGTTAACCTGTAGGTTCTGTGCCAAGGTTAGCCTCCGCACCACGATATGGAGAGGATCGAGACTAGTAAGGATGAGCTCGTGGATGATGCGTGCCGGTGGATCCTTACACCCAGGAGTATGCAGACTTCACCAACTGGTCCGATAACCGACATGGATAAATGGACATGCTGGCACGCGAAAGACAATGCTCATGATTAGTATCATCCGCGAACTCTCCCGTTAACCAGTCGTCCTATCACCAAAGCTTTCGTTTTTCTTCTGTCAAGGCACAGACACGGCTTTGAATAACGCTACCGCCGTCCTATGATCTTTGATCTGGCTTCTGCTTCTTCAGCAGCCATGTCTTATCTCGCATTTACTTCACAAACATAAACAGTCAGGCGCCGATCTAAGCAGCCAAAATCAAGTCTATCGGTGGCTCGGCGCAGTCACACTCTTCCTTCAAGCCAAACAACCCAGCTCCCGAATCGGCGGGTATCCTTAGGGCTTCCAAAGGCTACCAAACACAAGCCCGGGACGCCGGATCGAACAGGGTGACTATCAAGAAGCGAGCACCTGTGATAACCTCACTCAGCTAGCGGACGGTGAGCAGGGATAACCTCCGGCTGCGTGGGTCGGTGAATGCATCTCAATGCAGCTGGAGTGGAAGGCGTGAGAGAAGAGGATACATCGTGGAAAAAGTTTCATAGTGTGACAGTTGTTCGTCCCGTGCCGCACTGAAAGTCCCTTGCCCCGACAGTCCCGCCTCTCGATTAGGCTAAGTCCTAGCTCAGCCCCAACCCTGAACGGATAAGCACGCTCCACCCCCTCTCCCCAACATGGACCGGGGACGGGAGAGACCCTTCTGGCACCGGAGCGTTCCGGAAGTCCTCCCCGCTCAGAGACAGTTGCGATGCGTGGGCTACCTTGTGGTGGCCCTCGAGCACCGCCTTTCAGCTCTAATCTGTAATGAGCAACGTGCAACACACGTCGATGCTGCCTTCGAAACTTCTCGAAGTGCTAGCAGCTTTTGCTTAACTTTGATAAAGATGCATCGCCCCTCTAATCACAAAGAGCCGGCGGGAAGGCTTGGATCATGGCTGTTTGCACACGGGTCCTCACAGAATTGCAGGATGAGAACCTCGATGGTCGGCTTTGTTCATAGCGAGAATCGTAGTCAGGCGCTGTTGAAGCTTGTCGACGGCTTCCACAAGCTATCAAACCGAGAATATTGCTCGTCTGTCCATTCACTCTTCAACGCAACTCGTACGCACCCGCGCGTGTAACGTCTCGCTCAGATCTAACAGGCAACCAGTTTACTGCATACCTGCCCCGAAATATGCATTCAGGTATGACTTCCCTTCCACTAATTTTATCCTTTTGCGCAACTCAAAGAAGCTATTCGTCTGGTTGTGATACTCTAATAGGTCTCAAAAAGGGCTACCCCTATGCTTGCTGCCGAGAAGCCATGCATTGGCGAGGTCGGAATCAGGCGAACCGTCGACATTGTCTTTCGTCGGTTGCGCCAGCCGGCCTGCTTGTAGAACGCAATTACAGTCTCGCCAAGCTGTAGTTAATTTAGGATGGTTCGTACACATATACGCAGGCATAACCGGACAGAAATCTAAGCTATTCTCTGACTGAGCATGCGCACTTTTCATACCTAGTCTATTCATAGTCTAGCCGTCGTCCGATGTGCTTGGCAGCAGAGAAGGACAGAAGGAGGATTCGCACCTAATGCTTATCCTGACATCACCTGTCGTTGTTGGGAAAAGCGGTCGGCTCCCGCCGCGAGCTTGGTAAATACAAGGCGGGACTGAACACGGATATCCTCTTGAACCTCTTCATCGTAGATCTCTTCGCAGCTCTATTTGAGGAATCGCAGTATGGCGTTTTCAACTGTGAGCTTTGAACCTCCATTTCTGCGTGTAACAGGTGGCAGTTGCGGATTGGCTGACCTATCCAAGCTGCACCGCTCGGAACACTCAGGCCGTCAGCTGGAGCCCATTCTAGATCAAACTCATTCCTTCAAGCACTACCGTACTCACATTGCCGTAGGAAGCTCCTGACTAAGGTAAATGCCAACCCATTCACCAAGCTCCTCTGTCACGTGGGCACACATCTCGCCGCGCCCGTAAGCCTCTGTCGGATTCTTCGCCCATGCCAGACGGAGCCCTGAATGCGTCTTCCCTGGATGCTTGAGGGGATGCTTCCGATCAGCCACCACCACGCGAAGCACCTCGCTCCCCTTTTCCAAGAGCTGCTGCGCGAGCGAACTGTGTTTACAACGGTCGTTCGGCTGGCGACCAACGAGCTGCAGAGTCTGTCGCTTGAATGCTTGACTTTCGTTCAGGTGCTTCTCGATGCTTTTCAATTCCCCCACCAGGCTTGCGCATAGCATGAAAACCATGAGATCCATGATGCGTGCCCACGTGCCAAGGGCGTGCGCTGCTGCCCCTTTGGATTTGACGCGTTGCGCCACATCCTGAGCTGTGAGAGGTCCACTCCCAAGGATCTCAGGCTTAGGCGAGACCTCCAGCGCTTCCGACAAATACAAATCCCAAGGGACAAGTTCGTGACCAGGTTCTGAGTCCCCATATGGCTCTTGAAGCAGTATTCGCAACGTAACTCGGCCTGGGTACTGCCACGCGAGGGATCACACCGCACAGGATGACAATGTAGAAGGTGATAAGTGCCAAAGTGCATGAGCACTGAGCGCGAGTGATTCTCAGCGTCCTAAGATCCTCTGTGATGCCGGCGAAGAGCCTATGGGAATGATCTGCCCATTGCGTGAAGCGATCGGAATCCGACACGACACCCCATGCACTGACCATTTCACAACCAAGCAGACCTAGCCAGGACTTGCAGATATCATCTATCTCTTTGCGATCCAAGGTTATGGAATGTTGTACTTTGCTGGGTCCCGTCTTGTCTGAACTGCCTTTCGACGAGTCTTCAGCTGCACGCTGGGCCATGCTTCGGGTAGAATGATGGTGTGGCGTGGCACGGCTGTGCTGGGAGATAGGCGGGTGGCTCAGCGTCTATGGACTCTGTTGTCCCGAGGTTGACGTAATGCAGTCATGCCCCAGGGATGCCAAAGCGGCCATGTAACACAGTCAAAGCTGTACCGTTTAGAACCCAAGATCGTGACATTCTCGCCGGGTTAGGGCACAGCGACATGACACAGTGGGTATGTAGAAAGCATCGCTTTTGTTTGAAACGCTGGGTATATATTTGTGTATACATATATGTGTATGTATGCCTGTTTGGGTGCCTCTGGTCGAACCCCGAGCACCCTTTTTCATCCCTGAACCCCGGATCCGTGCCCGCCTCGTTTTGACGCTTTGCAACCAATTCCCTGTAAATCCACAAATGCTGACTGGCCGAGAACTCCTAACCTGATATTGAAGAGATTTCCCGGTCCAAACTGTTAAACAAGACGTCGAGATGCAGAAGGACAACTCTCGTGTTTTCTTGCTGCGCCCCATATTATTGCTCCCGTAGTGTGGGAAAGAGCCGAGCCCAAACCTGGACTCAATTCGCTGTCTAGGCGCTGAGACAGCAAGCAGCTCGATGATGCAAGTCGCTGCGTGTGCGCTGGAAAAGCAAAATAAGGTCTTGCGACAAGACTGTGGAGACGCTCAACGCTGGCGCACAGCGTGTTGGGATGCCCCACTTTAGATGTGGTGAAGGGGGACCCTGACGGGGTTTGAGCTGAGTGCGGGGGTGGAGCGGTCCATCGGATCGGCGTGCCCCTAAAGCAGCCTGCTGATTTGGATGCTGTGCATCTTTGGCCGAATAGGCTGCGGATGCTGGGATTGTGAAGTCATCTCTGAGATCATGGGAGGGCGCAGCCACGGCTGCCTCGAGGCGAGCCGCTCAACGCAGGTCCCTCATCGGTAGACCCCATCATTTCCGATTCCACCCGACGTTCCAGATGACATGGGCGATGTCCTTGGCGGTGTTGACGGTATCAATCACACGTCCGATGATGCCATCTTGCCCGGGCTGGAGATTTCCGTCCTCGTCGACAGGCATCAGCATGCCAGATTCCGTCCGCTTCATCCCCTGTGGCGCTTCGAGGAGGCTGTCCGACGAGGGTGACCGATGGAACGACGAGTAGCGATAAGAAGCCCCAGCATCAACAGGACTCGAAATCGGCGCTTGCGCGCCAGTATCCATCTCGAAACTGTCCTGTTCGTCGTATTGATACAACAGGCTCGTCGCGGGCTTTGATGGCCTCAATGTCTCCTGCGATGACGAGGTTGATAACACGGGGCCGCCACTGTGCTTCATCGCCGTCTCTCTTGGTTCAGGTGAATCAATGCGATACTTCAGTGTGGTGGACGGCAGCATTGCGATTGTCTTGCTGTCGTTGATAGGGACAGGAGCCCTTCGTCGTGGGAGGATGGACCTTTTTGCCGATCGTGTCGATTTCATCATGATGGCGCCATCGTCGGACTCGCTGTCATTATCCAGATCCCACTTCTGCGGGTCCAGCTCATCGTCGTCTTCGTCGCCCTTGACGTCGACTGCGATGCATTGCTTGACTTGTTCGTCGAAGTGGATGTGCTTGCGCTCAGCAGTAGGCGAGACTATTCCAGAGTTGTCTGTGGATGGGTGCGGGCTCGTGCCGAACCTGCTACCCCTCTGCGAGACCATGGGATACGCCATGAAGTCTGTGGTTGCGCGCTTGATGATTGGCCGGTGCGGGATGCGGCAGCGCGACCCTCTCTGCTCTGCCTCAATGGCAGCGGTCGCCTGCTTCAGTAGGGATGATGACGAGTTAGACTTCTGTAGCATGACCTCAGACATGCTTCGCTTCTTCAAAATTGGCTTCTTGTGACCATATGATGGTGACCTTGAGCCTCGTGTCCTTCCACGGCTGTGACTGCCCTCTAGCGAGCTCACAGTGCTGGGCTGGAGAGGACCGTAGAGCCAAGTGACGTCGCAGTCCTTGAGCCTGCAACGATTGCGGTTAGTATGGACATAATCGTAATGATGCGGATAGCGGCGGTTCATACCAGTTCAATGTTTCGGGCGACACTGTCTTCAGCCGATACTTTGCTTTCATCCAGGTCCTCCAGGATGCATTTTCCAGACGCGATGAGTTGCTATAGTCACCCCTCTTCGAAACGAGGTACCGCCATGAGGACCAGATGTCCTCCTCCTTCCAGTTGTGTGAGAGGTAGTCGACATGCTGAGTTGGGTGATGTTTCGCAGCGGTGTCGTCCTCGGCGTGCTCTGCAGTATCAGGAGACTGGGGTCGCGAAGTACTTGCCGACGAAGTGTCGGGCTCTGTGGGCGACACTGTATACGAGTCGCCTGTGTGCGGGCTAACTGGCGGTTCCAGGTCTTCGACATGGGCGTAATAGGTAGCACCTTCAAAATCACCGAGGGTCGTGTCGTCTAGTAGTTTGTCCCGCATGTCGAAGTCGCATGAACCTCCATCTAGTGACAGGTTGGAGGCTGGAGTTGAGGGGTACGAGTGGTTCGAGGAGTCTGACGGATGGAAGTGGTGCGGTGAGGGAGGTCCGGACGAGGAGCTCGAATCAGGCACGATGACTGGGTGCCTATATGAGTCCCTGAAGTCGTCATCAAGGCGAGAGCTGGCAGACGTGGAGTTGAGGTCGCCAGTGTGGTGAGACAGGAAGTGGGAATGCGAATGAGAGCGCCGAAGTCCAGACGAAGAGCCAAAGATGCTCAAATCTTCAGACGAAAGTACTGCAGCCATCTTTGGGACTGCCACGAGACTTTGTGTGCCTACCCCAAGTCTCAAGGGTGGTCGGGTCGCCCTGACGATACGGCGTCGACTATATCGAGTTGACTCTCATAGGAAGTACCAGCACAGATCTCTTGGACGACAGCGGCGTGGCTCGAAGAAGTGATGTCGAGTCCAGACAAGAGGCGAGGCCGTCGACACCAAAAGTGGTTACGCAGAAGGGTCGGGCTTTAGAGACAGATGATTTCAGAGGGTGCTGCGCAGGGCGTTGTGGCTTCGAGAAGAGGTGTGGAAGGGCGCTCGGGCGAGGGCCAACTTCCGCAGGACTGGCCGGCGCCTCTGGCCTATTGACTGGGCTCCCGCAAAAATCCTGAGATGGCGTCCGTTAGAGTTGTGAAGCGCAGACATGCTAGGACGGACCGTCCGGGCAATCCAGGCTCGCAGTCAGTCTCAGCCTCATTCCAATCGGCCGTGGGGTGTAAAACGTGGAAGCGTGGCGGCGTGGTCATTGGCTGCCAGGCACGGTGTCTCGATGATGCATGCGACCGAGCAGCAGCATTAACTAGCCACTGGCTCAGCATGGCAGGTGGTGGTCCTGGGGAGATAACAGAAACTCTATGTGCTCCGTGGCCGATCATGGACAGTGCTGGACCTTTTTGCTGGAAGACACGCAAGGGAAGTCTGACTACGAAAGTCACCATGTCGCTGCAGACCTCGGGAGCCATAGGGACCAATGCGCGTTCGCAGGCGTCGACGTGGACAGACGAGCCCGACAGCAGACATTGCGGCGCCAGCGAGCACTGCCGTCGACACAGGTACACAAGACAGCGACAGAATGAGCGAGGCGAGATGGCGACATCTTGACGGCATGCCACGCTGCCTGGGAGAGCGGGGAAGACGGCCAGCCACGCAATGTTTTGCGTGATTCCGGGACGAGTTGCACTATCAATCGCCGACAGAACGTGAGCTGGCAGTGGTGATGGAGACACATTGGTGTGTGGTTGCGCAGCTGCATGCTCTTCACCCTGTGTGTGTCGCCGTGCTGCGAGCTGACCGGCGAGAACCGGTAGGGAATTAGGCCCCAGGCCCTGCGCCCTGCAGCCACGCAATGCGCAGAAGCTGCTGCAGCCGGTGGTGCATGAGCCCTCGACCTCCGACGTTGCATTGCATCCGCCGAGCCTGCCGGAGGCGCCGCTCCCTGTTTCACATCACTCTCGCGGCCGGGTGTCTCTGCAGACGAGCATACCACAATGCACATCGCGATCTTCCCATTGGACAATGCCCGGCCTAACTCGGCCGTCTTGCGATCCAGGGCACGCCGTCACAACCTTGCCGCCGTCCTTGTTATGGTGACACATGCCATGCCTAGAGGTCACCGAGCGGCCCGGTGCGTGTCCCTCGGAACTTTATACTGGCAGAGGGGACGCACGCTGAGGCAGACTTGTTGAAGTTGCCGTCGCGTAATGATTATTCCGATCATCAATCCTCGACGAGCCCGCAGAGGCACAGTGCCTTCTGTCCAGGTACAAGCCCACGAGCGGCAACTCGGCTCCGACAACCAACTTGAACGACCAACGCCCAGGATCGAGGCAAACTCAAGATCTGAGACCTGTCATTTCGGCCCGTTCAGCAGCATCGGGTGTCCTTGGGAATCCCCACTCTCAGCAGCCATGGCAAGGATTTCCGGGGAATTTGGAGGGAGCGACAGTGTCTTGCCCTACGGAACTGGAGGGACTGATCTGCGGCATGCCGTAAATGAACTCCCGAGCATGATGTCCAGACACCACATGCGTGTTGTGCATGGTCCCTGGCTGGCACGGGGCTCCCACCCCAGGGCAGATCGATGCTCGTCAAAGTCTGGGCGATACGTGCTGCACGCGCGCAATGCTGACGTGCAGTGCAGCAAGGGACCCAATCACCTCTGGGCCATTGACTTTATCAGTACCCCATAACCAGCAGCACAGTACTCTCAGTTTGTACCATATCGTGGACGACGTCCCCGCTCCGACAAGTATCTCACGCTGATGCAAGCTGGCCTGCAGACGACCTTTTACAATACGCCACACGGTCCGCAGGATTTTTGAAGTTACTGGTTCTGGACTGTTCGACGAGACGAGCGGCACATGGAAAGCAAGCGCAGTCTTACGCTACCAAAGGAAGGCAGAGAGACTGCTCGAGTTCCTTGCAGGCTGCATCCACACGACAGGCGGCCAGACTGGGCGATCACCAGAGCTTTTCAGTCTCACATACCAGAACAGCGCTCTCGGCGAACGCGGTTTATACATCTACAACGGCTCAGTAATGACGCTCACACGGCATCACAAAGCCAAACGTTCAACCAATCGGGAATTCAACGTTGCGCGCTTCCTTCCTCTTCGAGTCGGCCGAGTCATGTTCCGATGCCTGGTGTATATCCGTCCCTGACCGTCATTCCGGGCGGAACTTGCCTGCTCGTAAGTACGAAGTTACCTCTATCCTAGCCTCCCTTAGTGCCTGACCATCATTCCCCACCGGAACTTGACTGCGCGCAGGCAAGTTCCGCGGGGAATGATGATCAAGTATCGAGGAGCTGCAGCGGAACTGTACCGCGCAAGCCCCGAGGCGTCATCCACCATGCATCTGACTATCATGGAGCTGTGGATCGCCATGGACAGTTTGGCGGCGAGCCTCGTCCCGCTGCTGCGAGATTACGACACCGGTTTTTCGCCATGCTTCTTCGATGGCCTCGTGCTACCTAAGGGAGAGCAGTTGCGCCGGCTGGCCAGGCTTGATGACTACTTCAAGCGACGGAGAGCTGGTGCCGGCTCCAACGGCCCTCCCTGGCGGCTCAGATCTAACGATGAATCCTGGTCCGATACATGCTTTGCAGTCCGTTATTATAACTCCTCGCCTCAACACCAGCAGTTGCACCGCGACATCGTCCGCCAGGCGAAGGCTCTCAAGGCTGCAAAGGACGTGGAAGCTGCGATGGCTGCGCAGGCAGTGAGGAATGCAAAGAAGACGGAGGATGTGCAAGTAGCGAAGGCCGTGAAGGCCGCGAGGGGTTCGAAGGACACGAGGGCTGTAGAAGTCGCGACCGCGAGAGCTCTAGCGGCTGGAGCTGCTACAAAAGCTGCACAAGCTGTCCGGAATGAGATGTGGTCAACCCTCTTCCTCTGGCCGCTGCCAGAGAGCGAGGTGGCAGCGAAGGCCGTCGTCTTCGAGCTCGAAGCCCCTGCCGTCGTTGTCACCTGGAGCGAGATCACGCTGAGCATCCTGGCCGGCTTCTGCAACACCAACCACGGTCGCGAACGCGTGCCCAAGTCCTCCCAGCGGCCCGACCTGTGCCACCCCAGCGCACACCCCGTCATTCTAGGCCTGGTGAAGGAAGGCGATGGCGACCAATGCCGATTTTGCTTCGCGCGCCGAACCTCTTTGTCTTCCCACGAGACGGACTCGCTTCAGTATGCATCTTCCCCCGAGGCGCTTCCCGAGCCATTCTGCGTCAGGTTCGCCGCCGATGACTGGGCTTTCTATGACACGCGGCCGGGCAGAAACCGCGGCGGCTCCTGTTGGCTATCGCAGTCATTATCGTCACGGTCCAGCGGGCGGCAGTGCTACCCGCCTAGCACCGTTCCGCAGGTCTTGCGGGGTTGCATCCTCGGCACCGCACATACGTCGAACGACGTGCTGGCGGCGCAGTCTCAATGCCCAGAGGACATGACGCTGGACGAGTTCGGGGCCTTTGGGGTCCTAAGGGCCGGTCCTCAGTTACAGTGGCACAACATCTTGCTGCGCCTGACCATGTCCTCGCTGGACTTCAACCGACCCGAGGTTTTCTATCTCATCATGCAGGCCGCCAACAAAGCCGGGCCGCGGGGGGGACAGAGCGCCCTCCGCAGCACCCACGACATCCTGGGCGAGGAGCGGTTTGGCGACGCGCTCCTCGCCGGCCTAGAGGACACGCTAGGCCGCGTGGCGGCAAAGCGGGAATCCGGAGTCGCGATGTGCATCCTCCTGAGCCTCGCCGTCAAGCTGCTATCGGCCACCCCCCACCGGGCCGTGCAGGAGCGGTGTCTAGCATTCCTGCGACGCATCCGGCACAAGGTGGCGGACCAGATACGGCGCCTGGTCACGCAGCTGCACAAGAGCGGTGCGGCCGACGAGAGGCGGGCGACCCTGGACCGGCACATCCACATGATGGCGCTCATATGCCACGCCACCTTTGACGTCGGCGCCACCCACGTCCCGTCGGTGCTCTCGGACAGTCGCGAGTCGGCACTGCTCATCGAGGCGTCGATCCGCGCCGCCGACCACGCGCCCTGTCGGATTCCCGACCACCCCACCACACCCATACTGGACACGTTCCTCTACCGCTGGCGCCGGCTATCGTACGAGGTCGAGCCGTGGCTCAGGAGCCAAATCATCAGCCGGGGCAACCCCTGTCTCGACATGGCCGTGAAGGAGATCTGGGCGTCGTACGTACAGGGGATCGGATGGTCCACGTCGCCGGCGCCCCGCAAGCACGTTCTTGTCACCAGTCTGCCCCCGCGGCCGGCAGGGACGTCCTCTCGTTACAGTACAACCTCTTGACTGGAAGCCTCCTAGTGCGCGGCTCACCCATCTCCTCACTCCCGACGGGCATCCGCCAACACGCCACGTTTCGCAGGGCGTTCGGAAGCCGCTCCTTCACCGTCATGTCCTCCTACCTGCGGACGCAGGGGATGCGGTACATGGTCACCTCGACGTACCACGGGCACGAGCTCCACTTCGCCATGTTTGAAAGGCTGATCCCGGTAGAGAGCTTCCGGGACGACTTCCCGAGCCACTTGCTGGACGGCTACGCGCACTGGCTGGTCCTGGGCGAGAACAAGATCGAGTTCCGGCCTCTGGATAACGCCTGGCAGACGCTCAAGGATGCCGGGCCCTCCTTTGCGGGTTTCGTGCTTGATTTCACGGGCGGCGAAGGCGCTGCCCGTCTCACCAGGGCCAACATCCCCACCGTCGCCGTCGACGTGCGTAGCAAGACGGCACGCGCCGTGCATACCATCCTGCGACCCCTCGAATCGCCAGCCCTCGTCGACGTAGCCTTCGACCAAGACCGGTCCGCACTCGACATCGGCCTGCCGAGGCTGCGGCTCTCCTTCAGCTTGGCGTCCGGCACGAGCAACGTCGTCTCGACGCAGTACAGAGGCTATGCCGTCAACGGGGATCAGTCCATCGGGACACTTTCCGGCCTGCAAAACAAGCTTGTCCTCTGCCGCTGCTGGGGCACGGCCGAGCAGTTGCGCGACCGACTGGTCCTCGTTCCCGCCGGTAGCGTGAGGTGACCACGCTCGGTCGACCCGGGTCGCGACGGGCACCGACGGGCACCGACGGGCACATCCGCCATCGCGCATTTCGCGTCGACGCCATGCTTGGCTGCCTCCGCGACGGCGGCGCGCTGGCGGGGAAGCTGTTCCTCTGCCACCTGCACGCCCTCACCACGCACTGCCTCCCCGACAAGCTCACGGGCCGGACGGGCACCGAGGAAGCTCTCCGCATTCTGGGATCGGCTGCCGTGCAGTCGGACGGCCACCTGCAGGAGGAAGACCTCGACCTCCTGCACAGGATCGGTTGCATCAGCCCCGTCCGGGATAGGCGAGCCGTCATCGAATGGTCGAGCTCTGCACCTCCGGCGGCGCAGAGTGACGCCTTCTGCCAGCTGGTGGCAGCCACCCTCGGCCGGGCCAAGCTGTCGCAGCTCTGCCTCTCCTCCTCCTCCTTCTCCTCCTCCTCGGACCAGAAAGGAAAGGTGTTCAGGAATCTGCCCCGGAGCTACGAGCCTCTCGTGAGGCGCGCAGTCGCGCGGGCGTCGGCATACTGCGTTTCCCAGTATGGCGCGACGCAGCACCTGGCAGCCACGCCCGACGACAAGTACACCGGACCTGGCGGCTGGGCGGAGAAGTACGGCGAGTTCGAGGCTTTCCGCCTGGCCAGGCACATGATCCACAGCAAAGACCAGGCAGTGCTCCTGCATCCCGTTCGTCCGCTGGGCGAGGGTCGGAAGTTCTTCCACACGTGCCCCGGGGACGCGTCGGCGTCGGCACACGTCCCGACGAGGGTCGAGTTCAACATGGGCTGGCTCGTCAATCCCTCCACCGTTCCGGCGAGCACGTGGTTTCGTGTGCTGCAGGAACTCGGACTGATGCGGCGCAGCGGATCGGGATCCGCAGACCGCCGATACGGGGAGGTCCTGTTCTTGGCCGGGCTACTGTTTGCTCCGAGCGCCAGGCCGGAACTTGTCCAGCTGCTCCTCACCGTCGCTACGGCACCGACCACGACCTCCGAGCCAGGCGGGTCGGCCGGGAACCTGGCGGCTGGCATCGACCGCCACCTGTTGGGGCTTGACGATGGCCTGGACGTGCTAGAGCTTCTTGCGGCTCTGACCTCGGACGTCAGCAGTCTGCCCGTGAGCTCAGACCAGTCGGGGCAGTCCCCGGTGAAGCGGGCGCCGTTCTCGACGCATTCTGCACCGAGGGGCTTCGTCAGCGTGGAGGATCTGTTCAAGCAGCCGCCGCCGCCACCGCCGATCCGGCCCAGCCCACCCGAGATGTCCCGCGAGCGTGTCAAACACGAGACGTGCGACAAGCGGCCGATGCACCCAGAGCTTCTGCGGCGTCTTCTCCAAGACCTAAGAGGCATGTTCCGGCTCGAGCACGAGCACAAGTACGCCGAGGAGCTAAGTCGGGGCATAGACGCCCTCCAAGACTCGGGGACCGAGACTTTGGCACGGCTGCCGGGTCTGCCGACGGAGGGCGGCGGCGGGATTCGCGGGCTGTTGGAGCACATGGACACGTGCCGGCGCGACGTCGCCGACAGGTTCGCGACGATACATGCCGCGGTCCAGGGTGCCACCCCGGAAGGGCTGCTGGCCGTCTCGCCCATGCTGCTTCTCGAGCGCCTGTCGAGACGACACCGGGCCAAGCTGCCGGACGGGTGGTTGCGATGCCTGGTCGACTACGCCGTCTCCATAACGGCACTGCAGAGGGCCGAGAGGCTGGTTAGGGCGGCCGACAGCGGGAGGAAGCTGGCCAGGGAGCTCCTGAACGTCGGCCACGAGAACTGGGATCCCATCGCGTTCCCTGACTGGCTGCTGCTCGAGGTCGAGATGGGCATCCTCATCCGCCCCGTCCAGAAGCGCGTCGCCTTGGCCATGATGCAGCCGCCCGGCAAGCGTAACTGCGTCATGCAGCTCAACATGGGCGAGGGTAAGTCGTCCGTCATCGTACCCATGGTGGCGTCCGCGCTCGCCGACGGGTCCCGCCTCGTTCGCGTCATTGTGGCCAGGCCGCAGTCGAAGCAGATGACGCACACCCTGGTGCGGGCCTTGGGCGGCCTGCTAGACTGTCGGATCTGCCAGCTGTCATTCTCGCGGGACTTTAGACACGAAGGAAGTAACGCCTGCCGCTTGGCCGGTATGCGCGCTCAGTGTGTCGAGTACCTTGAAACCGGCGGGATCATGGTCGCCCAGCCTGAGCATATCCTGTCGCTCAAGCTGTCCGGCGTGGAGGCCGCGCTGCTCCCCTGCAACCGCTCCGAGGCCGCGAAGACCGCGAAAGCCCTGCTGGACTTGCAGCACCTGTTTGACACGCGCTCGAGGGACGTCGTGGACGAAAGCGACGAGATTCTTAGCATAACATCCGAGCTTAGCTATGCCATGGGGTTGGAAGCGGCCATCGACCTTGGCCCCCTGAGATGGCGCCTGATCCAGAGCGTCCTCAAGCTCGTTGCCGAGATCGCCCCCGCCATCCGGAGGGAGCACCCCGATAAGCTGGAAGTCAGCCCCGAACTAGAAGGGCGCTTCCCCCGGATCAGGATCCTAAACGAAGCCGGCGCGGCCGTCCTTGCTGACCGCCTCGTCCAGCGCATCTGCGACGAGGGCCTTGCGGGGTTTGCACATATCGTCGGCCAGAAGCAGCACGTTAGGGAGGCCGCCCTGCGGTATATCCACCAGCTCGAGCCGTCGGCTAGCGACGTCGCCCTGGTAGAAGCCTCGATGGAGGACGGCACCTTGCAACAGACCTTGTTCCTCCTGCGGGCCTGATCACCCACGGGGTCCTCTTCTTCTCCCTGCAGAAGCGGTGGAGGGTCAACTACGGCCGCGCCAGCAACCGGAGCCCCCCGACGAGGCTGGCGGTCCCCTTCCACGCTAAGGACTTACCCACGCCACGGTCCGAGTTCAGCCACCCCGACGTCGTCATTATCCTCACCTGTCTGAGCTACTATTACGGTGGTTTAAGCGACGACGAGCTTTTTGGCTTGATCGAGCGCCTTCTCCTCTCGGTCGGGGGTGAGAGGGTGTATCTGTCGTGGGTGCAGTCGGCGCCTAACGGTATCCCCTCGGCGTTCCGCCAGCTGGACACCATCAACATCAGAGACCGGCAGCAATGCGCCGACGAGGTCTTCCCGCACCTGCGCTACCTCAGGTCGGTAATTAACTACTACCTGACTAACACCCTGTTCGCCAGGGAGATGCGCGAATCCTCCCAGAAGTTGTCCGAGTCGAGCTGGTCCATCGCCAAGGCCAAGCCCCAGCCGACGACGGGCTTCAGCGGGACCAACGACGTAAAGTGCCTTTTGCCCCTGAGTATCGAGTCCCTGGATCTGGGGGAGCAGAGACACACCAACGCTCTGGTTCTGAACCACCTGCTGCGCCCCGAGAACACGGTGCGGGACGTTTTCCCGGCCGCCGAGCCGCCAGGGCCGCTTGACCACGGCCCCTCTCCAGACCTGGAGCTCCTCCGCCGCATCGCCGGGTCCATGCCGCAGATCCGCGTCAACATAGATGCGGGTGCGCAAATCATCGAGCTTGACAACGCCGAAGTCGCTGCTCGCTGGCTATGATCCCCGCCGCCGACGCCAGCGCTGCCGTCTTCTCCGATAACGACGAGGACATGTGCGTTGTCACGCGGGACGGGACGGCGGAGCCGTTCCTGACGTCGTTATACGCAGCCAACACGGCGTCCTGCCTCATCTTCCTCGATGAGGCCCACACACGCGGCACCGATCTCCGCCTGCCGGACGACTACCGCGCGGCGGTGACTCTGGGACCGGCACTGACGAAGGACCGTCTCGTCCAAGGACCGTCTCGTCCAAGGTACGAACCCCCCTTCCGTTTCCCTTCTCTGCCTCACATACCAATGATACCTCATATACCAATGAATTCTGCACATGATACGTTTTATGGTGGCTGATATGGACGGCAGCGTGCATGCGGATGCGTGAGCTGGGCCAGGGCCAGTCTGTCACCTTCTTCGTCTCGGCCGAGATTCGTCGGAAGATCACCACGCTGCGCGGCATGCCCAAGGATGGCGACATTGGAGTGGGGGACGTGCTCGCCTGGTCCATCAGCGAGACCTGGCACGAGTCCCAGCGGCTCATGCCGCTGTGGGCGGTGCTGGGCCTTCGGCACCAGCACCAAAAGCTCCTCTGGGACCAGGCGGATACGGGGGCCGGGTACAATCTTAGCCGCGAGGCGGCGGTACAGTTCCTTGAGATCGAGGCGCTCTCGCTGCGCGATCGATATTCCCCCGACCACGGCGGGCAAACCCGACGGGACCTGGACCGCGCGATCGCCGCCGCGGCTCCGGACGCCCAGAGGAGCGAGGTGGCCCGGATCCGGGAGCGGTGCGAAGCCTTTGGGGCCAGCGGACCACAGCGCACATCAGCCCTCGAGGAAGAGCAGGAGCGCGAGCTTCTGGTCGAGCGTGGGAAGGACCGCCCCGAGGCACCGGCGCAACCGATGCCGGTGAAGCCCCTGACGCCGTCGCTTCACAAAGACGTCGAGGCGTTCATCGTGGCCGGTACGGTCCGGCACAACTCGGCAGCCTTCATGCCCGCCTTCGATGCCCTGGCCAGGAGCAGCGTTGCCAGGTTCTCCAGGGACCTACGCCTTCCGCCCGGCCTCCTCCTCGTGACGGCCGATTTCGCCCGCACCGTAGACCTGCCCGCCGCAACCGGCTGCGTGTCGGATGCCTACCAGCGGCCAGTGCAGTGGATTGCCACGACACCTACGAGGTCGAAATGTGGTGTCACGGCGGTCGTGCTGAGCCCCTGGGAAGCCAACGCGCTGATGCCGGCCATCCGCGCCGGCGGTACCGCTGCCACGCTGCACTTGTTCGCCCCGCGCACCAGTCTGGCTACGCGCTCGGCCGAGGACTTGCTATTGTACGCGACGCCAGCCCCGCCGCCCGCATGGCGTGCGCCGCGGACGCTGGTGCTGACACTGCTCCTATTTGCGGGTCAGCTCTATCTCCGCACCTACCACGACTACGTGGACATGTGTCGGTTTCTGGGGGTCCCATATCGCGCTGGCTCGGAGGAGGAGGAGGGGGAGGAGAAGGATCAAACGAGGGACGGGGAGAGATGCGTATTCGGCCCCACCGCCGTTCCGTTCTTCCTCGGACTGATCGGACGGATCCGTCACCCTTGTGCCGACATTTCGACCACCGATATTGGACACATCCTCGCTGGGGACATGCTGCCGCCCACTGCTTTTTCCGGGCCGGTGAGGGCGCGATAGACGTACGTCTCTCATCATCTCTGCGACGAGGGTGTAAAACACGGTAAAATTAAAGGACGCTACCTCATCAAGGAAAATTGATAAGGGGCACCCACCCTATCCTATCCTTACTGCCACCCTCCCTCCTGCCCTGATGAGCCTATCATACGCCAGACTGCCAGCCGTTACCCAGAAAGCCATATTTTGTATGGATAATCGAGCTTTTTCAATGCAGCCAGAAATCTGTAGGTGCAACAGGGGGCTCCACTGCAAGGTCTGCCCACAACGACCAATAGCCCTCCCTCCTCAAGGGTTGGGATCTGTGGCAAGAAAAAGGTTCAACGCCCAGTTCTTGGCATCTATTCCAGCAGCTTCCTATCTTGGCGCCAAGGGCAGCCACGCCGACGAAGTTGGCGATAGCCTCAACAGAATCCTGAATATTTGGAACTGCCTTGGAAAAGAGCCTCTTGGCGAGAACTGCCCCGGAAAGAGCCTCTTGGCAAGATTGAGATACCGAGGGGCGCTGATTTCCTGCGTGTATATATAGCACTCGCGATACCCTCACAAAGCCTATTTTCTGAGCAACAAGCAATATCAATATAATCTATTTTCCCACAGGATCTAGATGGAACCATCGGCGGTCTGATCGCTGATGGGCACAGATGCCTCGGCTCTGACAACCCGGAAACGCACACCGAGTGCGTGACAGACAACGTCAGTAGCGCCTTCCAGCCGCTCGCCGCCTTCAAAGCCAACAACCGCTGGGCCATCCTCAGCGAGGCGGGCGACGGCAAACACCGACTGGTGCGAGAAGTACCTCTGTCAGTCGCTGGATTTCCTAAAAGTAAGCACCCTCCCCTCCTTCTCTTCCGAGGGTGTACGTTCTAACGTAGGTAGGCTCGCACAGCTAGAACTCGGACGTCTTCCTCGCCTACGCCGGCAAGGTCTGCGGGTTCCTTTAGACTGTAAACCTGCGAGCTCGGCGAGGTGCCGACTAGGAATGGCATTTCATTCCGCGAGATCTATGTTCGAGGCTCCCTCGGGCGCCCGTTGATGGAAGGGTGCCAAGGTAAGCTGTGCGAGCTATTAGGCTGATAAGAGGGTGGCTAGCCGGGATTTGTCAACAGGGAACGAAACTTTCTCGCCAACATGGTCATATTAACTAGCACGCCCACGACGGGACAGCGTTATTAACACTACTATTTCCAACAATTCAAAAGCTATCATGTCCCGGCGCGAGAGGGAAGAACTGTGTGACGAGTCCAAAGAGAGGAGGTCTGGTGTGGACCGAGGCCGCATTGTCGAGGACCGTGAGGATGTTGATGATACGGCGTGTTCGGGGTTCATCCCACGGACTGGCCCAAAGTATTCGTGTCGGGCAATTGCCTCGTTGCTGACGCCACGCCATGTAGTGCTGCCACTTAAAATACTGTCCAGGCGGATCTTGCAGACGTCAAGACCTGTCTCAACGATGTCCTGCCCTTCGACAAGCGCGGGATACTAACGGAAAACTACTACAAACCGGAGAAGACGGAACTGGCGACTTGCCATGGTGATAACGTTGGCAGCGGGGAGCTGCTGGCGGTTCTGAAAGCCTGAGTACTCCTCCGTCAACCTCATCCTTCAGGTTAGTTGCTGCAAGCCACAGAGTCCCGTCACGAATTGGCCGGACCCCCTTGCCAAGGACATCAAACTCCGATATGAATAAGAAATGTGTTTCGGCCTCGGCAAACTCAGGAGGTGGCACTCGGAATCGAATTCTTCAGATGTCACCACAACTGGTACAGGCATACGCGTTGTGGCCAGGCTCACCGCGATTCCCACAACGTCGCGCACGAGTCTCAGTCCTCGGCTTCTGACCGCTACTCAACTGCGTCTCCTTTATCTGCACCTTCAACGTCTCACCGGCCTAGCACATCTCCTGTACAGAAAGCCACCCTCTGTGCCGCAGCCGTTCGTTTTCTAGCGTTCCGCCGTTTGCTTAGTGTTTCATTTGCTGCGCGGGGTCCTGTTTCTCTGCCTTTAACATTGCAAACTGATGCATGATCTTGGGCCTCCCTTTCACAAAAAAGACGTCAACTGCTTTGAAAATCTTGGTCGGGGATCTGTTTGGTGCCCGGGCAATTCGAGTTTCGAGGTTGTACTGCAGAGCTTCAGTCAAGTTGTTGACCGTCTTAGGTATCCGGGAGAGGGCACTGCCGGGCCGTGAGTTCGAAGGTGCTGGCGTTTCAACTGGATATCGAGCTGAAAATCGCCTTTTTATATCTTCGCTCAAGACCTCTGGTAGATCACTCCCGGGTGGGTATTGCTCTTGGGTTATCGTTGACCCGTTAATCAGCTCAGTATTAGTGACGTCAAACCTGGCATTTCTAAGCAGCGAATTCTACTACCAAAACTTACCCAAGCGACGTCCATCAAGTATTAGTGCTTTTCTAGACACAACTTAGCAACCCTCCTCGTGCTATCCTTGAGACTAATATGCTCTCACAATGACCATCGGCATCCTCCGAGCTTCCGGTGGTCTCGGAACCAGCACCTATACTCATCTCCTAAAGCTTGTTCTCCAATGACCGCGTCATCCTCATCAACCGGTATCCTGACAAGGTACCACGGTCGCACATAGATGCTGGAGTCCAAGTGCGCAAAGCCTCGTATAAGAGCACGCCGTCCGAACTCGAAGATTCCTTCTCGGGCATAGCACGACGAGGAGGAAGGCGGATAGAGTGTTGTCGGATTGAATGGAGCGCTAGGGAGCGCTGCGTAGGGCAATTCAGGGGCTTAGAGCAGTGGTCTACGTGATTCAGCGGCTTGGCGATGTAGAGATTCAGACGGTTCGACCACCATTGTTGATATCATCAATTGAAGGCTTAGCCAGTTCTTTTGATAGGAGCTTCTGTGTAGCTGGAAAAGGCGATAGTGATATGAATGAATCCAGCTTACCCGATGTGAGTCGGCTAAGCTGAGAGAGTGTATCCAGTGTGCCTCAGTGTGCTCAATGATCTTGGCAACTGAGCTCACTGAGCGCCTGCTCTATTGGCCTCGTATCTTGTTCCTCGTAATGGCTGCCCCGCGTCCCGTGCGTGGATCCAGTTCTGCTGGCTTATCCGGGACACTTGATCAGGCTGCGTCCCCTCTCGCCTGCCCAGTGGAACTCACTCCCTGTCTCTCGTCTCTCACATTTATTATCTTCGTCTCCAACCTATTTTTCCCCTTTTAATTAATTACCCAACTACTCGCTCTCTCCCCAATATGGGCTCATGACAGTCGCGCCAGTCAGCTCGAAGGAAAACTCCATCCCCACATCTACCTGGTGGCCCCTCACCTGGTAGCCGTCGTACATAATAAGCTTCCGGGGTGTGTTTGCCACGACCAGAGCAACCTCCTCATCGGTGATCTTGGCCGTCACGGACCCGGCCCCGTCGACGAGCTCGACGTAGCGGACCGTTCCGTCGTAGATATTGCGGACAGCCATGGCGGCCGTGTAGGAACCGCTCGAGTAGGTGGTGTTGATCTTGACGCGGACCGTGACCTCCTTCGACCCAACTGTTCCGCGCGTGACGAGCTGGATGAGGTTGGCGCCCATGTACCGCGCCGAGCGGCCGTCTTTGGGCTTATAAGTGTTGACGACAGTTCCGTTGACGCCGGTGGCCGACCCGGTCCGCTCGATGTTGTCGAACGTCATCCACCAGCGCTGGCCGAGCCAGGCCTGGCTCGCCTGTGCGTGGCCGATGTCGACGTGCGCCATGCGGGTCCAGTAGCGGCCGACGACTTCGCCGACGGTGATGTTGTTGCTGTCCGGGGCACTGTCGAGGACGCGCTGCAGTGTGTGCAGAGGGGTCTCGTTGGCGTTTTCCGGATACTGCACCATCAGTTGCCTCATGGCGTCGGTGCCCAAGCCGGGAATGTGATCCGGGTTGTTGGTAAGGTATGTGAAGAAAGGCCAGGCCTGGTAGTAGTTCTGTGTGCCGTCGGGGGTAGCGTCGACGATGACCCGGTACGACTCGCCCACGACCCTTCCCAGCTCTATGTTTGTGAACCAATCCCGCCCGCTCTGGTTGTGCCTCGCCCTGGCGGCCTCGCACAGCGGCGACATGACGTACATGTCCGCGACCCAGTTGGCGACCGTCTCCCACCAGGACCTGGCGTTCTGTTCCTGCTCCCATGCCCGCTGGTGGAAGTGCAGCGCGTGACCGTACTCGTGGCTCAGGAGGAATGCATCGTTCAGGTAGGTGTCCTCGACCTGGATCCAGGAGGCGCCCTGCTCTCTCGCCACGTTCATCACGCCTGCGACCCGGCCGTCGCCGATCTTTGGCACCGCGTCGATGTTAGTCTTATAGTAATTGCTGAACCGCTCCTGGCCCGGGTAACCCCGGTTCAGGTAGTACGACAAGCCCGTGGAGCGCCAGCCATGGTCGCCGATGAGGCAGTCAAAGGTACCCTCTAGCGTCCTGAGGGCCTCATCAACGGCGGAGATCGGGCTCCTGCTGGCGTTGTAGAAGAGCCGGAAGTGGGCCGAATCTCTGTAGGTACTGCCGCCAGGCCCCGCGTCGGGCTGCGGGGGGAAGATCTCCGGGGGCGGGCCCGGCCGGATGGGGGGTGCTAGGGTACCATTCCCTGGTGGGTTGAGATCGTATGGCGGTTCCGGTTCCGTACCATTGACCGGCAGGGTGTCATTGGCGGCTAGAACAGACCTGGCAAATAATGCACAGTTTGTTAGCGGGGATGTGGTTTCCGCCCGAATGCTTGGCCGGCCGCGCGAGGGATGTATCGCATGCCCGGAGGCGCTGGTGACGGCTTGGAGTAGAAGTGCGAGAAGAACTTGGGTTGACAGAGCCATCGTGGGCGACTTCCAGCTACGCTAGCACGTGCTCACGGCTCGTTGAAGAGGGTTGGGAGATGGAAAAAGGCAGTCTGGTAGGTAGGATGAAGCCTTTGGAGCCCAGCTTTTAACATAACGTCGAGAGGTAGGCGAGTCATTAAGATTTCTATGTTACGTGTATTCAAGGATCCATTTCTTCTCCAGCCCCGTTCGTATTGTTCCCCTGGTTTTGGTACGCTTAATTTTAAGTAAACAGGCCCATTTTCATGCAAAATCGGGCCTCGACGAATGACAGACGAATACAGTGCATTAACCGAATGTCATCCCATTGCCGATCGCTCGGCCTTGCCTAAATGCGACAAATACCACAGCCCCTTTCTGCAGCCCCACGCGAAGATTGGCAGCGTCATGTGACCCATCGGTCTCTCACAACCCTGGCTTCCAAGCAACAGGCGGTCGCAATGACGGAGCTCGTGATTATGTAATGATCATCCACGCAATGATCCAACTCCGGGGATTGGCACCGGGGAGCGTGTGACACATCACCCGCACCATCAATTCAAATAAACCTCTCACATTGCTCTCATGGCGACTCGCTTTGACCTCCCCTTTCCCACATAAGCCCGCCGACATACGCGCCACCCACCGAGGTCCAGGTCAGCCGCCCTTCGGGATCCCCGCCGGCACGCCTGAGAATGTACGGTATGCAGGTCAAGTACGAAAATCCCGACGCTTCCGCCCTGGGCTAGAAACAATGTCCTGCCGCTATGGGGTGCTGTCGCGTTCAAGATCTGGTCCCTGAGCTCTCGAGCTGTCCACCAGTCGGCTTCTTCGTGTATACGGCCCGAGCCGCCGTCACGAGAAGTCAGAGCTTTATCTCGACCTGTCTTCACAATTGTGTCCTCCTCGCCCTGGATTTGTCTCCTCCAAGGAGTATTGCAGGACTCGATCAACCACATCAGACACGGCAGAGAAGTGCTCCCGGGCCTCACTTCGACGGCCCTGGACCGTTGGCTCAAATCCCAAGCCAATCTCCTATTTGGCAGCCGAAACGTGCTTGTGCCTAGCTAGTTCTGACATGCCAACCGTTATTGTCAATAAGAAGGGAAGGATCGCCGCGCCATCTTTGCCAGTGAGTTGGTTTTAGGCATCACGTTCTCATCCGGCAACATATCCATCGCCTATACTTTGACAGCAGCGTTGTTGTCCCCGTCCCTCGGATATTGAGACAAATCACACAAACTCCACACAACACAACCACATCATCCAAGATGAAGGTCGCTCCCCTCCTCCTCCTCTCGCCCCTGGCCGCCCACGGCCTCACTATCCTCGAGCCCAAGGGCGAGGTGATCCCCAACTCGTACATTGCCGTCCTGAAGCCCCTCTTCGGCACCGCGAGCGTCAACAGCGTGGGCGCAAGCATCGAGCAGTCCATCGCCGGCGCCGCCACCACGGCCGGCACAGCGCAGGCGACCACGGGAGACCCCATCTCGCTCGGCAGCTTCGTCGCGATCCCCCTCAACGCAACAAAGGCGGCCGTCAAGGCCCTATCCGGCCTCGCGCAGATCGCCTACATCGAGCCCAACTACAAGGTCAAGACCCAGGCCGTCATCTCCCAAAAGGACCCCGAGAACTGGGGCCTCGCGCGGCTCTCGAGCCGCACCCCGCTCGCCACGTCGTACAACTACGACGAGCGCGCGGGCAACACGTCCTTCGCGTACATTATCGACACGGGCATCAACGTCAAGCACAGGGACTTTGAGAAGCGCGCGAAATTCGGATACTCGTCCATCGCGGGGCAGACGGGCGACGGCCAGCGCCACGGCACCCACGTGGCGGGCATCGTGGGCTCCAAGACGTACGGCGTGGCCAAGAAGGCGACGCTCATCGCGGTGAAAGTGCTCGACGACACGGGCAGCGGCACCATGACGACGGTCATCGAGGGCCTGCAGTGGGCGCTGCAGGACGCGCAGAAGAACAAGCGCGTGAAGAAGTCGATCGCCAACATGTCCCTGGCAGGCAGCTGGTCGCAGGCCATGGACGACGCGATCCAGGCCGCGACGGTCGCGGGCCTGCTTATCGTCGTCGCCGCGGGTAACAACAACGCCGAAACTGCGGGATTCAGCCCCGCGGCCGCGCCGGGCGCGTGCACCGTCGCCGCGACGGATATCAGCGACCGCCGCGCCGGGTTCTCCAACTGGGGCGCCGTGGTGGACATTTTCGCCCCCGGCGTGGACATCGCGAGCACGTCCAAGGACGGCGGGTCGGTCCGGATGAGCGGGACGAGCATGGCCAGCCCGCACATTGCCGGGCTCGCGGCGTACATGCTGAGCATCGGCAAGTACAGAGCGCCCGTCGATATGTGCAACTACATGAAGGGGCTGGCGATAAAGGACGTCGTGACGGACCCCATGGGGAGTGTCAACCTGCTCGCGTACAACGGGGCCGTGCTGGCCAAGAAGAAGGGCACCGCCTGAGAGTGTTGTACATGTAGTCGTTGTTTCGTGCGAGAAGGCCCTCCCTGGCTGGTTCAAAGATAATTCTTATATATATCCTAGGGAGGTAGTCACAATCACCTAGATTTCGTCAACACACAGTAATACCAAGTTCTGAGCACACTGGTGATTGTTCGCGGCCTGCATCGCCACCAAGCCCGATACGAACAAGTACGCGACGAACATTGCGTGTCTTCTCTTCTCTTTGTCAATCTCCGCGGTTCGCGATATATCAGTGCTGTTCCAGGCCACCCGGCAGGTTCGTGGACTCCGAAGACTAGACTCATTTGCTGTCTTCTCTGATTAACGAGCCAATGGGCCGATCGAGCGCCCAACAGTGGCTGTTGAACTGGGTCGACAGAACATTTGAAGGGACAAGAGGCACAAGGATGCATGTTGCAATGTACATCTTCATTCTTATTTACAATCTGCATGTCAGACAGACATCATGTGGCTGGACGATGTCACACCACCTCCCTGATGGCTGTCCCGTGTCCCTGATTCCGGGGCTCCAAACTCGCGCAGCCGGGATACTTCTCAACCATCTACAACCTCGGCCGCAGCGCCCTCTTGGCAGCACTAATCACACCCGTCGAGTTACCAGCAGCGGGGACCAGTGGCAGAACCGTCAGCACCGGCGCGCTCCACACGTCCCAGTCCGCAGCGACGCTGGGCTCTCCAAACGGTCGCAGCGCTGCGACGCGCATCCGGTACCGCCCGGGTTGGATCTTGCCCGTCTGGTTCGCGCTGTCAGGGAACCCGTCGTCGTTACCGTTGCTCTCGCCGCCCGCGGACCCGCTGGTCGTCGCGAGCCGCCCGAGCCACATGTACTGCTTAAAAATGTCGCGCGGGAGGTTATACCTGGGAAATGCGAAGACGTCGGACTCGTTGTCCCGGGCCGGGTCAAAGTACGACGCCTTGCCAGAGAAGGCCCACGCCGCGACCGAGCCGACGTACCCGTTGCGCCCGGGGACGGGGGGGTACTCCCACTGCTTGTCGTCCACATCGGCGGCTGTCTCGGTTGAGCCTTCGGCACCGACCTCGTAGATGTCCCAGCGCACCTCGGCGGTGCCGTAGCTCGTCGATACGACGAGCACGGGGAAGTCCTGCACGTCGCGCGCGAGGTCAAAGGTGTAGTTGCTCTTCTGCTCGACGGGCACGCCGCTGCCCGAGGTGAGGATCTTGGGCGTGCCCTGGGGCCGGGCAAAGACGCCCGGGACGACGGCCTTGATGTCGGCGGCCGCGCCGGCGTAGGGGATCGCGAGGGTGTGCTGGCCGGTCTTGTCGTTGCTGGCCTTTATGATGACGCGGCCGCCGTAGAGCGGGATGCTGGCGGCGTCGACGCCCGTCGGGACGGAGAAGGTGAAGTTGGCAAAGCCAGTCTGGCCGGGGGCGAGGGTCAGGGGAGGCGGCATGGCGACCTCCGGGACGATGCGAAGCGGCTTAAAGTCAAAGTACCCCTTGAACGACTCCCTACCGAAGCCGGGCTGGCCCTCGATACCTGGCGTCCACGAGTTGAAGCCCGCGGCGGGCTCGAGACTGAACTCGTACGTGACGGGCTCTGGTCCGGTGTTGGTCAGCTGCGCGACCTGCTCGGCGTTGAAGTGCGCCGTGTCGTTGAGGGCAAACTTGCGCGACTCGAAGGCGAGTTCGGTCGTGGCGGCGAAGATGCGACCCGCGTGAAGGCCGCCCGCGCCTATCTGCACGGGAGGAGCGAGGAAGTCGGCGCTGACGGACCCGTTGAGCCCGTCGACCCAGGGGGCAGAACGGGCTGTCGACATCATGCGCGCTGACAGCTGCTTGGCCCAGTCCGGGTTGCCGCTCTTGCGCCCGCCGTACTTACCGACCCAGAGCGCGGCGACGCCCGCGACGTAAGGGGTGGCCATGCTGGTGCCGCTGAGCACCCGGTAGCCGCCGCCCGTGTAGCTGCTGAGCACCTTAACTCCGGGGGCGGCGACGTCGGGCTTCATCTGCATGTCGTAGTTGGGACCCCACTGGGTGAAGGCGGCCGGTCTGCCGGCGCCGTTGGCGTCGCGGAGCCCGACGAACCGCGTCGTCTCCTTGTCGAAGCTCGCCGTCACGCTGCTCTGGTTGCCGGCCATGATGACCTTGACAATGGCCTCGCCCGCGGCGGCGTCGATGACGGCGACCTTGGTCGGCGCGCGGTTGGTGGGTGGCACGTACGGGGTCGCATTGTCCTGGTAGAAGAGGATGTACGGCGCGTTGAGCGAGGCGAGGTTGGCCTGCTGGTGTAGAACGGGCAGCCGCCGTTGCGGACGAGGAGGATCGACTCAGGGGTCAGTCCCGCCGGGGCGGTCGCGACAGGCTGGCACGCGTCGGCGGCCACGGCCGGGTCGAGAGTCAGGGGCACGATGGGCCAGCCGGCAATGGTGTCCGGAAAGAAGTCGGGGCCCTGGCGGCCGCTGGCGGGCAGGTATGCGGCCTCGCTGTTCTGTGCGGCCGTGGTGTTGCTGCCCGACTTGAAGGAGATGGTAAAGGGGTACGCAGGTACCATGTCCGGGGCCGTGGCGGCGACAGTCAGGACGTTCTCACCAGCAGCGCCATTGGACATGAGGAACGCGCCGTCCTCGCCGTTGTTGCCGCCGGCGACGGTGACAAGAACACCGCGGTCGACCATCCTCGACGCCAGCTTGGCCCACGCGCTGTGGGTGAAGCCGCCCTTCTCGCCGACCGACGCCGTGATGATGTCGGCGCCCGAGTCAAAGGCCCTCAGGAAGCCCTCGATGACCATCTCCTCGTTGCTCTGCCCGTACGCGCCGATGATCTTGTACGCGAGGATCTTTGCCTCGGGAGCGACGCCGACAAACTGCGCGCTGCGGCCGGCGACGATGCCGGCGACGTGCGTGCCGTGGCCAAACCGGTCGTTGGGCTCGTCGTCGGGCTTGGCCGGCGAGTTGGGCCAGTCGCCGTCGCCGACGAGGTCATAGCCGCCAATGACCTTGTCAGACGGCGACCCGAAGCCGCCTCCGAGCGCCTCGTGCGTCCACTCGACGCCGCTGTCCACAATCGCCACCGTCGCGCCGGCGCCCAGGATGCCCTGCTCGTGCAGCTCCGCGACGCCCGTGAGGCCGTGGAACGTGTAGTTGGCCGCCGCCGAGTCGTCGGCGAAGCTGGGCCCTTGCTCGGGCAGGCGCAGCGTCATGATGCTCGGCGTGTACACGGCGGCGACGGGGGCCGAGTCGGTCTGCTCGCCACCGTCGAGCACGCGCGATAGAGAGTCGGCATCGCAGGCGTCGCACTCGACCGTCAGCGCTGGGAAGAGGTCGTGGTCAAAGGTCTTGGCCACGCGCATGCCCGGGGCCACGGCGACGCGGGCCTTGACACGCTTGCCGCAGCCGAGGGTCTTGAGCTCGACAATGAAGCGCTTTGGGGCATCGGTGGCAGTGCCGGTATTGTTGTTATTAATGTTGTTGTTGGTCGCAGGGGTCGCTGCGTTGACTGCGGTGCTGGCGAGGAGCGTTGCGGTCGCCAGCCCGGCGAGGTTGTTGTTCAGGATCCGCATCTTGATGCAGTGGTCCTCACTATCCGAAAACGAATGTGTGAAACGAGTGTAAAGCTCGTCGCAATGTCGAGCGATGCTAAAGAATGTCTGGATGGTGATGAATCGACTTCCACGCTGACTGAGGTCGGGCAGCCCAGGACATGATATACCCCCCGGCCCCTCGTATTCCGCCCGTCAGTCGAAATGAGCACCACAATGCGACATGGTGATCAATGGCGCACCCCCGTTTCTGCATTGAGCCTGTATTGGAGTCTCGCGCCTGGGTTTTCTCCACATGTGCCGAACAGCCGCTCAACTGCCGGCGTCACAGGGAAAAGCATACGAGATCTTGGCGGCAGCCCTGGCCCCTGGGGACGGACTACGGAGGCACATGACTCGCTGCTTGCCATGTGGAAGTTCTGAAGCACGAGCAAGGACACTGACATCTCCTCTCGGGACTGCAAGGCACGATCTGTCGAGTTACATCGATCGACTTCAGCCCTCACAGTTTCAAGCCCTGCTCCGAGGATGCTATGTAAAGCTGGCTCGCAAGGCCCAACCCATATGACCAGACCCTGGGTCAAGCGAAATCGGCAGCACGTGAATTCCTTTTGTGGCTCAATTGATCCAAGCTTTCTGGAGTGCATCTTGCCGTATCCGGAATGGACGGAGCAAATTCGTAACCTAAAAGAGAGCGCGTTTATTTTCTATGCCTGCCGAAAGTTGTTTCTTCCCCTGACCCTCCATTTGAGTACGAGTATCTTCTTTTTCTGTTCATTTCTTTTTTTTCCCGCCTATGGAAGCTTGCAGCGGATCTCTTTCAATCGCACACGCCTGTTCTCGAGCTGGAGCACTAAACAGGGACATACTATTGCCCCTCGCACTCTTCCTGTTGGGGGGGGGGGGGGGGCGGACAATACATGACCAGTATTCCGGCCCACCTCAATGGAACGTGCCGCCTCCGGAGCGTGGCCTTGCCAAGACCCGTCGCGACACGCACGGGGCGCCGGGGGACGTGCTCTTCTACACGAGAATCCCCAACTGCGCGAAGCGGTGGGCACAATAAACAGGACAGCTCCAGTGGAGAAATGGCCGCGAGGTGTCCGGTTTCCTTTGCTCGCCGCCTCGCTGCGCGCACGTGAAGCCTGACGTTAGAAAAGGCTCTTGACGTCGCAGCTTCCCCTGCAGGCTAGCATCCGTATCTGAGCCCACCCTGCTCCTCCAGGAGGCGGCAACATGAGCTGCGATAGGTGACTCCATACACGGGGCAGGCATTCCCCGTTCCTGTTCTCTATAGAACGGAATATTCTGTGAGTGCCTCTGCCTTTCTCTAAATGAGGCAGGGACACACTCAGGGTAAAACCTGGGCCAGATATGCTTCCTACATGTTTGCCTCCGTGTAACAAAACGGTGATATCACAAAGAGCCGGTATCTTGGTTGAACCAGATAAGTTAACTGCTTACTAACGTCAACTCCGACATTGCATTTTACTTTGCACGTACATACGGCATTGATCCACAACCAGCCCTTCTTTCCTTGCTGACGCAGCCAGTGCAGCGCGTCCGAAAGATTCGCGCTGACGTCGAAGGTCGCATCGTTGAGCAGGATGTGTTGCTTGACTGTATCGTCGCCCCACATGTATGACAGAGCCTCATATTGCGGTCTCTCACCAAAGGTGATATTCCTCAGATAGCAGCGAACAAGGTCATCGTCGTTGCTGACGGGATTGATGCGTACTAATCGGATGCAGTTCTCTGCCTCCTTAAGTGCTGTGTAGTTGAAAAGACTTGTGTTCGGTAGTAGCTTCGAAAGGCCCTGCTGCTGCGTGGTCTCTGGTAATGCAGAAGCGCGAGACGCGGATGGTTCACCGATGGCGTCGTTTCGTCCGTGTGCTGTCATACCTGTGCTACTAGAGACAGGGCCGATTCTCCGGTAAGACCAAGGTAATATTGTTATTGTGCGCTTCGGGTTGCTAGTCGCCGCGAATCTTTGGAGTTGGGGGAAAAAACGGTCGACCTTCTGTGGCCCTCAGGCGATGCGGAAGGCTCGGCCTTAAGCGCTGATATGCTGCACCGCCATCTGCTAGTTCTAAAAATATCCACCGGCCAAATATGGCATAGCGCGAGCTGGTGCGAGGCCCAATGAGAGGGCGCAATTTGACCCACTTTTGTCCATTGGAAACCTATGGCCAAAAGTGGATCCCACCTCTTCGCCTGGAACCGACTTGCACGGAACCTTCTTAAGCCGCCTTCCGAACCCCCCGAGACGAATCCACTCGACACGCCTACGAGAAGGTCACTCCGCCCCACCACGCGGCTCTCATACCAAGAAACTCCGAACCGGCGGCCATGGAACTACCCGAGCTGCCCCGGTCAAGACCTCTGCCGCCCGTAAACCTCCGCCACCACCCTGTTGTCGTGTGCCGTCGAGCGTCCTGGAAGCCCTCGACAATCAGGCCGATCGTTTGTGAAGGGTGGTTATTGACCAACAGCACAAGTGCCAACCAAAGTCAAACAGGATCAATATTCAACGGCGTAGCAATGACGTCAGGAGCTTTGGGTCAATTCCGGGTTACCGAGCACGTCGTGTTTTCCGCGGAGCGTACAACTTGTTGAATTCCTGCTCGTAAGTCTAGACCCCCCATTGCGACCAGTGCGCATCGCGACCAGGGGTCGCGTCGCGACGCGGTTGAGCACCCCACCATACATTTTCCCATATAAACCTGCTCAACCGCGTCGCACCGCGACCCGACCACCTGCATTGTGACCGTCAAAAAGGAAGCTATCGTCATGGTCGCAAAAGACTACCAATTGCGCGCCCTGCGCGCACTGGATGAAGTTGAGGCTGGCGTACCTGTCGCGACGGCTGCTAGACGACACGATGTCGACAGATCCTACCTACGTCGTCGCCTTGACGCGTGCCCAACCTTCAAGCAAAGGTACCAAGTCCGACAAACCCTCTCCGTGACCCAGGAGGATTATCTGGTCTCTTGGGCCCTCGACCAAGCAGCAATGGGCTATGCAGCTCCATTGAAGCAATTCAAGCACTTCGCGATGCGCCTGCTGGCTCTCGACAACCCCTCCGCACGCCTCGGCAAGCACTGGTACCGACGCTTCATCCGCCGCAACCCGACCTTGAAGACCTCGAGATCACGACTTATTGAATACAAACGATACGACGGTGCCTCCAAGGCCAATATCGACATCTTCTTCGACCGCCTGACGTCATTGAAGGGCAAACGAGTACGGCCCGAGAACATATGGAACGTTGACGAGTGTGGCGTCGCGGAGGGCCTAGGTCACAATGGCTTCGTGGTCAGTGATGCCTTGCGCGACTTTACCTTGAAAAAGGACGGCGCCAGGAGCACCTGGATCACGATAATTGAGGCCATTTCTGCTGGCGGTGGCTTCATCCCTCCCCTTGTTATTTTTAAGGGCCAATCCGTGCAGCAGCAGTGGTTTCCCGACGTCGAACTTGACAGGTGGAAGCATTGGTGTTTTGACACATCGCCAAACGGGTGGACCAGCAATGATATTGCTCTGAAATGGCTCAAGGAGGTATTTATTCCCAACACCAAGCCTACGGATTCTAGAGAGTGGCGATGCCTTCTTCTCGACGGCCACAAGTCGCACGCAACAGAGGAATTTATGACGGAGTGCTTCATCAATAAAATCTGGCTGATTTACCTCCCGGCTCATACCTCACATGTTCTTCAGCCACTCGATGTGGGCGTGTTCTCGGCGGTGAAGGACCACTATCGTCAAGCGGTCGCGGAGGTTGCATATAACACTATGAACGAGTCCCCAGGCAAGCGGGAGTTCCTTGAAGCATACCAAATTGCGCGCAAAAGAAAGCTCAATAAGGAGAACATCTTAGGAGGCTTCAAAGGCACAGGGGTGTGGCCTCACAATCGGTTGAAGGCGCTGGGTTCCCGCTTCGTGATGCGGGACTATGAGGAGGTACGGGAGGCCCAGCAGAATCCCCAAAATCGGGCCCAAACGACGGTTTTAGAGCCAGATTTTTTGACGCCCTTGTGTGCAATTGACGTCAAAACACCAAAAACATCTCGCGATGTCTATAAAATGCATAGGGAGTTGGTAAAGTGTGGTGTACCTTTAGGGGCGGCGACCTGCAGGAAGCTGTTCAACAAGGTCGGGAAGGCAATCGACACTTCGAACATCGCGCGCACCACCGTAGAACACCAAAAAGACCGTCTCCAAGCTGCATTAGATGCTTCAAAGCCTGCTAAACGCCGCAGAGTCGATCCGGATCCCAATAAACAGTTTGTTCAGGTCGTAAACGTGGAGCGCGCAAAGAGGCAATTGCAGCTCGAGATGGGGGCGGACTTCAGCACGGATGACGACACCGACAGCAGCGACGACGAGGTAGAGATCATTGAAGACGACAGTGACGAGGTAGAGATCATTGAAGACGACAGTGACGAGGAGAGCTGCATTGAGGTGCGGATCAATTGATTTGAAGCCTTTTTAACGAATGCTTGTTCAGTTATTGCAGAGTGACCATGTGGTCGGTGATGCCCTCATGCGCAGGTTGGGGGGTGGTCGCCATGCGCACTGGTCGCAATGGGGGGTCTAGACTTATGAGATCCTTCGTATGAGATCGTTCCTACGAGCCGTCGCGTGGCAGTTCGTGCGAAGCAGTTCGTGCGAGGTCTGACGTTCGTACTCGCGGTAACAGAACATTTGCTCCACGCGCCACTGGTTGAACCACGGTCCTTAGGTTGAGTCATATTTTCCCAACCAAGCTCGCCAGGTTCTAAAAATGGGGCTATTCTCTCACCGGTCTCCCGGATCTAGCCGGGCTCAATGTGAGCGTTTAGTAGTCAGCAGGATTGTTGCTGTATAGTGGATGTAAATGGCTGGTCGAAAGCGGAAGTCGCCGGCAATACCAGCCGCGCGTGAACTGAAGCCTTTTTTTCAATCCTCCAGAGGACCGAAATGCCCACCTCAATGCTATGATGTCACGCGCCCCCAGCGTTGACGTTACAGCCTTACACCACGATGGTCACGGGGCTCTATTGCCAGCTCATGGCTGGGTAGCCATGGTCATCGAGCCACTCTGCCGGGTCAACTCGGGGCGGCGAGGCAGAACTTTGCCGACTCATCGTAGTTGACCTTCCCACAAAGGTCTGCTGCCAGCTGAACGGCAGGTCAGAATCTTCGGCGGGGGGGCCGGTGGGAGGGGAGGAACCTCTATTATTTCGGTCTCCCAAGCCGGCCTCGCCTAGGTTGTCTCGGCCTTCGGTGACCATTGCCTCCATGCCTCCGTCACCGTAGCCAGATGACGGCGATGGCGGCCCACAACAATAGCGGCCCTGGCGATGACGGCCCTGACGATGGCGGCCCTGGCCACGGTCCCGGCGTCGGCGGCACGCCGCACTAACCGGCCCTCTCCCCGACGATGTGCAGCCAGGCAACGACCGCAAGTTCCGCACCCGCGTCGAGCCACGACCGTCCTACCGGGGCTGCGGTGATTGGGAGCCACGAAATCCAGTCCAAAACAGCTCCGGGCCTGGGGCACCCTCTCTTGCTTCGTCCGCGGCGAGGCCTTCGTCGGCAACAGCGCCGGCCCGGGATCAGGGACTCCCTGTCGCGGAAATAAAGCGAGGTGGGTAGCTTTCCCCCTTGCTCTGAAATGCAGCCTTTTTCACGACCCAATAGGTGCCCCAATCTCCACGTGACATGTAGCATATCCCTGGCACAACTTTGCGACACGGCACCTTTGAATGCCCCTCCCCGCTTTGCCGGCCTTTGCGATCTGCATCATGTTCGACGGCGCGGACCGGCCGTGATAGGCTTGCTCACGAGTAACCCTCCCAAAAAATCCGATTGGACGCATCGAAAACCCCGCGGACGAGTCCGTCCTTCGGCCCTGTTCCTAATGCAGCTGGCCTCACTTGCGCGGTTGGCCTCACTAATGCTAATGCGGGTTGGCTCACTAATGCAACACCGTCCTGCACTGTCTTGCCACGTCCGACCCGTTCCGATTTAGTTTCTGATCGCATCTAGCGCGGGGAAGCAGGCCAACTGGAAGCAGATGCGGTCACCCGGCGCCGACTGCTGCAGGATTTGAACCCCTTAATAGCTAGAAACCCACGGCATGAACTCATAGGGGGCCACCCGAATGCCCTTACGGCCGTCGACTGCATCGGGCGTGGGCGTATTAGTGGACTTGGCCTCCAGATGCTTCCGCGTGGAGATTTGGGAGCTTTAGTCCGAGACTGAACCAATGCTCGACAGTGGAGTTTTCATGTAATGCATTCGTCTGACAATGCCCCTGCCAGTAAAGTTTAGCCAGTCGCTCTGAGTGAGGCGAACTGAGGCCTCGTTCCACGCGCGATGGCCATGTATGTTCCTTGGTATGCAGACATGATAATCAGAAGTCTGATGCGTCTAAACCCCCAAGAGTGGCTAACAGTACCACTCGTTTATCTACTTGCCAAGCTGTGTTGTTGGCCTCTCGCCAGGACGAGGCGGCCTCTTGCAATAAATGAGGCTTTCTGCATTTTCGGTGCCATGTGGCATCGCGATGGCCCAATCATACCCGTCAATAGTCCAACGCCACAGTATGCCCGGACGCAATACGTAACGTAATCCACGGGCGAGTGGCCCATACGGGCGAGTGGCCCACTTTCATTCACTATACCGAATCCAACTCTTCTTCACGCGTTTATTCCACCACGAAAGATGGAGACGCCTTCTAAAGAGAGTCAATTGTTCCTTGCTATCCAAGCAATGGAAAACGACCCAAACTTAAGCACCCGACGCGCTGCCGAGATGTTCAACGTCCCCCGAACAACCCTACGACGCCGAGAGAAGGGAGTACCTGCCCGACGCGAAAGCCCTCCGAATTCTACAAAATTAACCAAGCTGGAAGAGGAGAAGATTGTCGAATACATTCTCGACTTGGATGCGCGAGCATATCCTCCTCGGCTAAGTGAGGTTAGAGAAATGGCGAATCAACTACTCGCGAAGCGCGACAGGCCAGGTGTCGGAATCAACTGGGCCTCAACCTTTGTTAAACGACGACCAGAGCTCCAGACGCGTTTCTTTCGCAAGTACGACTATAAGAGAGCCCAGTGCGAGGATCCCGACGCGATAAACGCGTGGTTTCGGCTTGTGCGGAACGTAGTTGCGAAATACGGTGTCGCGGACTCCGATATTTACAACTTCGACGAGACAGGCTTTCAGATGGGCGTTATCGCGACCGGGATGGTCGTTACAAACGCGCAAAGACGTTCGAACGTTAAGATGAAGCAACCGGGTAATCGGGAATGGGTTACGGTCATCCAGGGCGTCGGCGCGACCGGATTTTACGTCCCGCCGTTCGTAGTATTTGCCGGCAAATATCACCTCTCGACCTGGTACCAAGACGACGCGATTCCTCGCGACTGGAGAATTATAACGTCCCTAAACGGCTGGACTACAAATGAAATTGGTCTAGATTGGATTCGGCATTTCGATCAGCATATAAAGTTGCGAACAAAAGGCGATTATCGCCTCCTCGTCCTCGACGGCCACGAAAGTCACCACTCGGTCGAATTCGAGCTCTACTGCAAGGACAGCAAGATTATTACGCTCTGTATGCCTCCTCACTCGTCTCATATACTCCAGCCTCTCGATGTTGGGTGTTTTGGTCCGCTGAAGAAAGCATACGGTCGGCAAATCGAGCTCAAGATGAAGGCGGGTACAACGCATATCAGCAAGGAGGACTTCCTCCCCTCGTTTTTAGCAGCATTCCAACAGACAATGACGGAAAAAAACATCCAGGGAGGCTTCAGAGGGGCAGGACTTGTACCCTATGACCCAGAAGCAGTCTTATCTAAGCTCGATGTAAAGTTCAAGACGCCAACGCCCCCAGGGACGCCTCGGAGGTCACCCGAGCTATGGACTTCCCGAACGCCTACTACAGCTATAGAAGCCCGTTCACAGTCTGATTTTATTAAAGGTCGAATCTCTCGTCACCAGGGAAGCTCTCCAACGTCAATTATTGAAGCAGTTGAGCAGTTCACGAAGGGGGCAAAGGGGATTATGCATAAGTTTACCTTAATGGAGGCAAGGATGAAAGCCCTTGAAGACGAGAATGCAATACTTAGCAAGCGTCGTAGGGCGAAAGAAACACGTCTCAGGAAAGGCTAAAGCATGACTCTAGGCGAGGGACAAGATCTCGTAACCCAGAGAGAGGTAAATGCTCAGGTAGTACAGGAAATGCAGGAAAACTCTGGGGGTGAAAGTCGATCTGCACCAAAGCAGCGGTGCTGTAGCGTCTGCGGGAAACCCGGTCATAACGCAAGAACTTGTTACATAGTTACTCTTGGGTCTGAACTAGAAGATAGCGATTGAGCTTAATTGATTTAAGGCGTTGGGGCTGTGTTATCGAGGGTGATACCTGCAAGACTTGGTTGGGGTGGGCCACTCGCCCGTATGGGCCACTCGCCCGTGGATTACGTTAGATATATTACCCCTTTAGCGGGAGTGCCAATTCCCACTTATCACACCGTGTCACCGCAGGTTGGACGCGGACACTCCATAAATAGGACCCATTTTGACTCATCTATTACGGGACGACATCATGATCAAGGTGACCCATGAGGGACACGTGGAAAATGGTGCCAGAAGCCTTACCTTTGCGGTCGTCGTAAAGCAGTGAAATACTGAACCAGTGACGTTCGTACATTCTCATTCGAGAAGCATGTCAACGTACTTTGCGCCGCCTAGAGCACACGAGCAATTACATGACATCTGGGAGGAAGCAGGTTGAGGAAATCTACCCATTACTTACCCAGCTTCTGTGAGGGAAACAGTAGAGCGTGGGCGGTGCGGGCCTTGCCCATGTAAGCAAATAAGCTAGTGTCAGACCCGGGTTCTTACAAAATTCGGCCATGTCGCTGTGTGCACATAAAGCGGCAACACTTAAGATCCAGCATCTGTTGAATAGGTGATTCTAGTGTTGTGTGGAGAGGTTTTTACGGCATGGGGTCTGCAAGACGTTGCACAAAAGCCTGCAAGTGCGCGATCGCGTTTCGACGCAAGCATCATGCGGCGCGGCTTTGCTCAGCTGGAATCAGGTTGAACGGGGATCGGAGATGCCGGACATTGAGTCGAATGCCGGCGATGGCCGATAAGATGATCCTCGCAACAGCACGACATTGGCACTCATGATCCCGGGGATTAAGAAGCACCTACCGCTAGTCAAATTCCTGGTAGACCAGATACCGCTCAATCGCGATCTCGTCCTGATTCGCCTCAGCGCGGCACAAATCGCCGGCACCATGTCGCAAATTCAGTGTAGACCTCGAGCCTGGAGCGGCCCCACAGGTAATTCAAATGAGGAGCGACAGTGAGAGTACCATCAGTGTAGCTGCACTGGTCGTCACCGACAAACCCGAGACAAACACAGCTGGGTAGCAAGCCTAATCCGGCCTATAATATGGACAGCAGAAGCCGGTCCCTTCCATTTCCCTCGCCTCCAGTCCTCAAGCCAGTGCAGAGGACCTACTTGAAATTCACTCCTGAACCTCCTTCGAGCCCTTCCCTATGATGCTTGTATAATGGAGGATTGTCCTCCACCGTCACACAAGATACTCATCCATGACGACCAGGCCATGCTGTTGCAGTCCGGCCATCGTCCGGACTAGCCAGCAATGGCTCATCCATGACGCGTAGTGCCACCATCTCGAGTTCAAGGTAGCACACAGATCGTCGTCGTCGCAACCATCTTTCTGACGCCAGCGACGGCGAGTGCGCGACAGAATCGGCCACGATGGCTATGGCAGCAAGGACCGGTGGCTTGCATCTTCCACGGAACCCACGACAGCAAAACAACAGCTTTCACCGAAGAAACTGCCGCGAAGCCTGGCATCGCCCAACGGATCCTCCTCGATTTCCACACCACTAAATCGTGCTCGAGCTTTCCTGGCAAATCTCTGGCCGGCTTTCGAACCGCCCCTGCAGATTTCGGTGGCGCAGAGGTCTGTGACATTGGTGTTGAAAATGAGTGCCTGCCCGCCTTGCGGATCTCGTCCCTAACCTTTAGGCGCCTTCACCGTCGTTGTGTCTCACCACGCGCAACGACATCCAGGCACACTACTACCCGCCCAGCATTGCCACAACCAATCGCTCTACGGCACAGAACAAAACACCCTCAGTCCGACACTATGTGCATATCTTGTCAACCATATTGTCCACCAGGTGTGACAGTGCAGCGAGAACATGCTCGACTCATATAGTCGTGCACGGTCTATGATCCTCCCTCCCTCGCACTACGCAATCTTGGCCATCCGAGCAGGCAGGCGGCCGGACATAACAGGTGCAATCGTGGATGAGCTGAAGTACTTAACTTTTGTCCGTGCTCAACGACCTCCATCGTCCCTCAGTGCAATGACAGGAATCATTAAGATCTAAAGCTTGAAGACTCATCATTAAGAGATAGCATGTGGTCTCGTCTAATGTGCGATATTTGACATATTCCAGGTGAGGAACATTTTATTTCATCGCACCTCTATGACTTCAAGGCGAACGACATTTGACGTGGCACTTACTGGACCCGTGCCTAATAATTCGATCCGTTCTAGCTCGCGGTAATACGTACTGTCCTGTTTAGTCGAGAGACATTCCTAGTCTTACACCACCACATAATCAGCCGAACTCAGTATCTGCTCTCTTCAGATGATTTGTCATTACTACGATGTGATAGTTGAGCCATTATCTCAGATTTGTCGTGTCGGGTGGCGGGAAAATGCCGAATTCAGATTATCTTCCCCGCCGGTTACCACGTAGCTCTCTTTGGCTTTCCCTTCCAAATGCCAGGTGCCTCATCCATCATGCCTCGGAGGCAAGCAGGCGATCAAGTCTCGAGCAAAACTGGAGTAGCTACCGATACGGCCGACGCTAAGACCTACAACCCGTGTCTTCACCAGGCAAGCATTGATCTTGACGACTACTTCGTAAGTATACGGTCCCTTACGCTGCCCTTATGATGGCACTGACTGTCATCGAATCGCATTCAGACTGGCCCCCGTGACATTCAGAAACACTCTAAATGGCCTCTTTTCATGAGGCTTCATGGCAGTATCCTTCCCAAGCTTATTGTGCCCATTACTTTCATCGCTCTATGGTCTACCGGCATTACTTGGATTCATAAAGAGGGCCCCTCCATCAGCCTTGGTACTACTAACGTCCTCCTCACCGTGATCGGTTTCGTCGTCGGTCTTGGGCTTTCCTTCCGGAGCTCGACTGCCTACGAGCGTTATGCGGAGGGGCGCCGGTACTGGAGTCAGCTAACTGTGACCTGCCACAACCTCGCGCGGACTATCTGGGTTCATGGCAAAGAGCGTCCAAATTCTGCCAAAGAGGACGTGCTCTCCAAACTGTAAGTCAGTTCATCGTCCGTGATAGCGCTGAGAGCTACGCTTACGGTAACCACTCAAACAGTACCGCCATAAACTTACTCGTCGCTTTTGCTGTTTCTCTAAAACACAAGCTTCGATTTGAGCCTTATGCGAACTACAAGGACTTGCAAAGTCTTGTCGAGCACCTTGATACCTTTGCTCAACAGGCTTCAAATGATGACAACGACCATTCCAGGAGCAAAGGGATATTGAAGCGGATCGGTGAGGACCTCGGATTCTCTTTTGCCTATTCTAACCCCCGGAAGGCAATCAAGCAAGCTAAGGGCCCGCTCGGAAGGCAATTGATAGGGGGGCATGACGAATTGATACGCGGGCATGACCCTTAGGGGGGCATGACTTTTTGTAACACTTGATTGGGCCAAATTTTCTAGATCCATAAATACTTCCGAGCAAAGGCGGTGAAGCCAGCCCTCTTAACAAGCCCAGATTTCGTGACCGCAAATGCACCCGACCAACACTAACCCTTTAGAACAGGCGTCAAAGAGAAGTATTGCTTTCGGTACTGTTAAGGAGAAGGTACTGATCCGGAATAGGCACGCGATGGGAAGTTCTCTGTATTCCAAAAGGTCGCTGTCGTACAAGACTATTGCTTTACCGTCGCTCGATTGGCGAGCGCCAGGCGAGCGACAGGTAAGAGACGGGCGCTCGCTGACTCAGCGAGTGCTTCCTAATTGAGTGAGTGCGGCCCCCCTCACAGGTACAGGGTATTCAAGGGCTGTTTCATAACCAAAGCTGTCTACGTCTCCCCTTACTACTATGGAAGGAAGAATCTCCTCTTCGCCATCAGCCAGCTCCCATTGATTCCTCCGTCTCCGAATGCTGGGCTGCGTTCTCCGCCCGCTGGCACGAACTCCTGTGGTTCTTCCCGTCCCTAGAAGGGTCGACTGGCTGCGTAACTGGCGCTGATTCGAGACATCAGCTTGGCCACTGGCCTGTCGGCTCGTCCCAAGTTCCATTCTGGCCTGAGTCGACTTGTTCAAGCTGCCCTGTGGACGACCTCGCCTACGGCTCGGGGGCCCCTGGTCGACCGGTTGACCAATCGGCTGACTACTAGTCTCGATGGCTAGCCCTGATGGAACGGCCTGCTTGGCGTTCTTAGGTCTGCCACGGAGAGCAGTGGCGATCTTAGGGTCGAGGATTCGTCGGTATGGATCTCGAGAGGATGCTTCTCGTAGGTGCCACCGAGGATGGACGTCCCATTTCGTGAAAGGCGTGCCATTATTCAGCTTTGAGTAGATCCTGTGGCAGCAGGGAATTCCAAGCTCGATCGACAACGAGCAGTCCTCGCCGCAATCCCCGAGGGATTCAGGGAACGGATTCTTCCCGGTCGGCATTGCTTTCCTTGCAAGCCGATATTGTTTGTTGATCAGTCCAAGGCCCTTGGAAGAGAGCGCCGTCCGGAGTTCGCCGAGATACTCCGAGCTAGGCCCAATGTACTCTCGCGCGGTAAGTACCTCGTCCGCTGCGCAAGCGTCGTTGAAATCTCGCTCCTGGTCCCTCATCATGTCCTGCATAGCCTCCATGAGCCGATAGAGATGGCTCATACCATTCAGGAGATAGCTCTTGATGTTGTTGTTGCTTGCTTCTGTACCAGAGGTGACGCGGACGCCGAAGTTGCGATACTTGCGAATGAAACAGCGCGCCCACTGCGCCCTGACAGGCATGTAGGTTCCATGGAGATACCCCAGGATGGCCCGCTGATCGTCAAATTCCCTACAGAGGCTTCCCCACGCCTTCTCGCGAGCCTCCTCTGTCTCCGCAAACAAGACGACCTTCCACATCATGAGGACCCCTCGATAGCTATGAGGGATGACCGCCGCCGTCGGGGCGTGGACCAACTGTCGGTCTTTGGGGCTCAGCTCAGCCTGTGCCTGTGGAGCAGAGTCTTCTCCGTCGCTGCTGTCGGAACTGCTGCTGCTGTGGCCCTTGGCCCACTTCTGCTTTGACTTGAGCAAGACGTTAGAATTGATATGGTGGATGCACAGCTGCTGCTGTGCATCAGGGAACTGATCATTCAGGGCTGCCTTCATCTGATCGTCGAAGTCGGTAATGATAACGTCCGGTTGGCGAATAGAGTGTTGCTCTGAGAGCTGTCGAATACTCTCGGAGAGGAACTGAAACCCCTCCCGTGAAGCTTGGGCGGACGGCTCTCGGGGCGGTGAGTAGGGAGGAGGCGATTCAATCGCATCTGAGCTGAGTGGTGAGTAGCCCCATCTCTCGCGCCATTGACGTACTCGTTCGTATGACCGAGCGAGCTCGAGCATAAGCCTCCGCTCCGTCCCAATCACTTTTCGTACTAGCTTCAGGGCAGATTGAAACTCGGCCCGTGTGGGTGACGATTGCTGCTGTTGTGCTGATTGAAGTGGCAAGGAAGACAGTGGGTCGGTTTCTGGTCCTGGGACAGGAATCCTCACTCGTAAGGACTGCCTTCCACCGGACAGGAAATCGTTTGAGAGGTGCACCTCGTGATCGAAACGGAGCTCCCATGGTGGCTCGTGAAGTCCACGCCATCCGTGCGGCTGTGGAGCTGTCGTGAAGGTTTCTGGGTAAGATGCAAAGAGATTTCCGAGTACATCTTCGTCGCCGACTCCGTAGTATTGGCCGATACTTGTTGCTATGCTGCTCGCTGAGGATGGCCGATTCGCAAGTATCGGCGGGCTGAACTTGCCCTGTCGGCTCTGCCGCTGTCGTTTTCGAGGCCGTACTTGATCTTGAGCGTGGGGACTAGAACTACGGGTTCGTCGTCTCGAGTTGGAAGGAGACTCGGATTGGAACATGACGAAGTTCCCAATTATCGAAGGTTGACCATGGTGGATTTGCTTGCTGTTGGTGGGCTTGATCTGATCGCGTCGCGTCGTGTCAGCTCCGAGATTAGGGGAGATAGCCTTGAGGTACTTAACAGGCTACGGCAGAATTCTGCCAACACTAACAAAAAAGAAATTGACGAATCAGAGGCCCGAAAAGTCATGCCCCCCTAAGGGTCATGCCCGCGTATCAATTCGTCATGCCCCCCTATCAATTGCCAAAAGAAATTTGCCGAAAGGGCGGGAAGCTTGACGTAGTCGTTAAGAAGCCAGACTTTAGTCAAGCTTCTGCGTTATATATGATTTCGATTGCCTAGAATAAACATTTCTATAAACCAAAAACCCTGCCTCACGGTTCACATAAGCGTTTTCTAATACGACAACCGGGCGGGCCCGGAGTATCTCTGTCTCAATTAGCCAACAATATTTGCTGTCTATCAAGGTCGTTATTAACCTTTCTGCATTGAATGAGGTTCTAATCAGGATTACGAGTGATCGAGGACAAAGACCGCCAGGCCAGTACTGTAGCAGCCCCGTCTCGTTCCAGCCCCTTTCCTCCGTGGATTTACGTCTAACTTGTCACCCCAGGGCTACTGTCTTTTTCCCAGAATTTCCAATAAATGCGATCTATCAACAATTCCATAATACCCACAGTAGCAAGACAACCGACTCTGGAACAAGCACAGCGTTTCCTCTAGCCGATCGCTTCGGACCTGCAGAGCATATAAGCGATCACTACTCTTCAGGCTTACGTAATCCTGTAGGGGCAGATCTACATGACAACCAATCCTCGAGAGAGAATGACAATTGAGAGTCAGTGCTAAGCTAAGGCTTTACCTAGCTTACAGGACAGGAACCCCAACCCCCAGTCTTTAGCTGGCCCCGAAGGCTGGATTGTGACACTACTGTGCTGGGGAGAAGAGATTTTCTGATCGTGGCAAAGCAAACCGAACCACAACCAAAAGGCCCTCTAAGCTCCGGTTCCGGCGGGATCTCCGACGGTAACTCTGCGGGCGAAGTCCGCAGAGTTAAGTGAGGGTCCACGCTTGTCATCACTGAGCAGCTGGACTGTACTCCACCGTGTTATGTGCAATTGCCCTCTGCTTATGAGAAATCGCCTGATTACTGCATTGCGAATCGAACGAGCACAGAATTGAGTGACAAAAATGGGTGAAGATAATGTTGTATTGTGGTGGTGGTTCAGTCGGCTTGATGCGATGTGCGAAATTGAAAAAGAGGCTACGCTATAAATACATGAAAAGCAATATGCGGAATGCCTTGTTCATGTGCCAATCTACCCTGCTCTGTCACACTATCTTGCATTTCCGTGGGCGATACAGGACAAAAGGTACGACACTGCAAGAAGTTGCTAGGATCTGTTCTCAACCTACTCTTGTTGGCCCAGGGGGTGATTACCAAACGTCCATCTTGGTAAAGCGGGCTGCTATGGTGACTGACACGTGGTCGGGCATCGCGTTAAATTCTCGTCTCAAGCAGCTAATGTCTGGGATCCTAGTATCAACCGTTCCGATCACGTACGCGTAGTTGTTCGTGGTGGCACTACCGCCGTTGTGCTCGCGCAACCGTTCCAAAATGTTAAACAACTCCGCACGGGTCTTAAATCATCGACGAGGGCTAGCTCTCTGAAGCCTATCCTTTAGATTTGCTCCGAGACGCCGTCGATATTATCTGATTGCGAGTTAGCTCTTTGTCGAACAACGGAAGAACTCAGCGTTATGGGCTATTGCGCGGCCACGGGATCTTATGAACATGGCGTGTGAAGATTCCTACAGCTCGCATGGTGCGGCGCCGTGTGCTTGGGCTAAGGCTGAGGTTCGGTGCTAATATTGAGCGAGGTGCCGAATAAGCTTGTAAAACCTTCAGAGTCCTTGCTCGCGTTGCACATTGGAAGAAGAACCGCCATTCTGTTAGGCCAATATGGTGATCACGAAGAGCATAAATCTCCCTGTTGGCAAAATCACAAGTCGTTCATTGTACGTGCGAGGATCCAAATAGCATTATTCAATCATGTAACCGAGATATGTCTCAACCACCAATCGTAGCACTCGCGCTCCGCCCACTTAAATAAGATGCACAGGGATTTGAAGACCTGATAACACCCCGAAAGTGAGGCCGTGTTTCCCAAGCCAAAGGGACCATATGCTACTGCATTGGGACCTTCACGGACGATGAAACTCAACTCCCACTGCGCGCTGACGACTTTGAGCTGCGGCAGAATCGTTTCTGAGCCTCCCCTAATCCCTCTCTCAGCAGGCTCTTTCTCCCTCGTTTCTTCTACCTGCGGATCTGGAAACTGCTGCATCAAGCGTACCTGGGCCCGACCATAGCTAGCCAATTGACCTGAAGCCTTTTCAACACCAGGAGCGAGACGCTTAGTCTCGACACTAACGGCAAGGGGCCAGTCCGGCTCGAAGGCATTGAGGTGGTTGAGCTGCCGAACCTGATCGACATCGCGCGACATCAGATCGAAGATACGATACTGCAGGTCTGACTTCTCGGGTGGCGCGAGGAAGATCCCGAAGTCAATGCGACAGTCGCATAGAGTTGCTGTCGCTGCTCCGCCACCGCCCCTTCTAACCGTTCTCGCGGCATCGCCGTAGCGGCCGTCAACTTGCACCGACGTCAGGTTCCGACAGCGCAGTGACGATTGTTGGCGACAGGCGAGCCGGAGCATAGGCGAGTGC